TCCCGGGAATAGATAACGAAATCAGTGATAGCTTATCTCGGAATCTTTTCCAGAAATTTCGAAGATTAATACCAACGGCAGATCCCCAACCAAAAGTTATTCCGGACAATTTGAAGCCAGAGAATTGGACAATAAATTCAAGCACTTTGTGAACAATGCAAAAGCCAAAGGCACGCAAGAGCTTTATCGACGCGTGTGGAAAAAACTAGTACAATTTTGGGAAACTATGAATGTATCAATATATCCACTTTCTACAGGGAATTTAAAACTTTTTATTAGTTATCTACACACAAAAGGGTATGCCCCATCATCTATTAGAACCTTTATATCAGCAGTAGGATACTTTCATAAGGTGAATGGCTGCGAGGACCCATCCAGACATTTTGTTATTCAGGAGGGCTTGAAGGGACTCAATATTCTAAAAGGGGCAACGGATGGGCGCCAGCCAATTAACCAACAGCTTCTTCAAATGTTAATCGGCAAGTTAGCTGGGGTCAAGGTGGTTATTAAAGACCAACAATTATTGACGCTATTTCGAGCAATGTTCTGTCTAGCATTCTACGGAATGCTCAGAATCAGCGAAATGTGTGGATCGGGTCCTCATAATTTGACAATCAATAACATACAATCGCTAAGTTCAAAACATTTAGTTATCCGTTTTCAATCTTTTAACTTAGCCAGCGCCCATGCAATGTCAGGTTAGGTAAGGTTGGAGATGACAGCACCTGCCCTCTCAAAACATTACGTAAATACTTTAGCCAAAGAGGTTGGCAAGATGGACCTTTATTTGTTTACAGAGAAGATCCAATATCAAATCAAATGTTTAGGTCAGTTCTTCGAGAAACTCTTTCTCTTGCCGGAATACAACACAACGTAATTACTTCCCACAGCTTCAGAATTGGGGGGGCCACATTTTACAGCCAATTGGGCTTGACAGATATACAAATCATGAAAATGGGCAGGTGGAAGTCTTTTTCGGCATTTACAAAATATGTAAGGTGAACACTTTAACGCATAAACCTTGACCTAACCGGGGGTTGCAAAGGAAATAAATAATTTTTCTTTAGATTAATTGCATGTTGCACATGTTAAGAATGGTGTCAACCGGGGATCTGGAGGAGGAGGGCGGAGATACCCCCTATCTTCCGGGTCCACGGCGGATTCTAAAGGTTAGATTTTAAGAAATATACATATGGAAACACTGTAATTTTCCGGACATTCATTGTGGGTCGGGGAAGAGGGAGGAGATACCCCCTATCTTCAATATCCATCAGTGAGTGTCCCTAGAGTTGTAGAGTCAATAAATAAACATTCCTAAACACTAAAATGAGTTAGCTTACATAGTATACTGTTTTGTGGCGGCACTTTGCATCGCACAGAGGATGTGTGTCTGCCCGATGCAAAGTAGTGGCGCGAGTTGCCTTTCACAAAAAAGGGTTTATGGAACTTACAGGCATTCAGGTGGGAATAGATAGGGAACCTAGGGGAGTACATACATGGCTAATTGTGTGGCACACATGGCTAATCTTGTGGCAACACATGGCTAATATTGTGGCGACATGGCTAATCATGTGGAGTACTAATATCAACAATAATAGCGGAGTCAAGAAACGCTAATCAGATAAGTATTCACTCACCCTGGGGAGAATTTTGGAGAGGCGGATTGTCCACACCGGGTAAGTAATGCATACGTAACAGTATGATAGGTGTGGGTGGCTTTGCCTTCAGGAAGTTAATTATTTCCTACCTGTTTGCTTAGGTTGTCTAGTAGTAGGTTAAGTGAGCGACTCCTTTATGGCACATTAGCAGTTATAAGACAACCTTTGGAAAACATAAATAAATTCTATGAAATAGAAAACTTTATGTGTCAAGAAGGTTGTCGCTCACTTACCGGTTAAGGATGGGATAATGCAGATTAACCTAGCGGGTTGTAGATGTAACGGCTTAAGTGGAAATGAATTTCTAATCCAAATTTAAGTTTTTCAGAGCATCCCGGAAGAAGTGATGCATGATGGGAAGTCTAACTTCCTTTCATGCTTCTTCCATATAGGACTGATATCGCAAAGCGAATTTCGGAGGCGAAAAACGGAAAAGTTCAGAGGTAGTAAGTGAGCAGCACATCAAAAATAGGTATGTTAATTCTATCATGATTTAGTAAGGTGCTAGAAAATTTCCCACCACCACCCCTTCCACCGACCATTTCACGAAGGGTGACCCTACGACATTTGCAGCGTGAGTTGCCTTTCACAAAAAAGGGTTTATGGAACTTACAGGCATTCAGGTGGGAATAGATAGGGAACCTAGGGGAGTACATACATGGCTAATTGTGTGGCACACATGGCTAATCTTGTGGCAACACATGGCTAATATTGTGGCGACATGGCTAATCATGTGGAGTACTAATATCAACAATAATAGCGGAGTCAAGAAACGCTAATCAGATAAGTATTCACTCACCCTGGGGAGAATTTTGGAGAGGCGGATTGTCCACACCGGGTAAGTAATGCATACGTAACAGTATGATAGGTGTGGGTGGCTTTGCCTTCAGGAAGTTAATTATTTCCTACCTGTTTGCTTAGGTTGTCTAGTAGTAGGTTAAGTGAGCGACTCCTTTATGGCACATTAGCAGTTATAAGACAACCTTTGGAAAACATAAATAAATTCTATGAAATAGAAAACTTTATGTGTCAAGAAGGTTGTCGCTCACTTACCGGTTAAGGATGGGATAATGCAGATTAACCTAGCGGGTTGTAGATGTAACGGCTTAAGTGGAAATGAATTTCTAATCCAAATTTAAGTTTTTCAGAGCATCCCGGAAGAAGTGATGCATGATGGGAAGTCTAACTTCCTTTCATGCTTCTTCCATATAGGACTGATATCGCAAAGCGAATTTTGGAGGCGAAAAACGGAAAAGTTCAGAGGTAGTAAGTGAGCAGCACATCAAAAATAGGTATGTTAATTCTATCATGATTTAGTAAGGTGCTAGAAAATTTCCCACCACCACCCCTTCCACCGACCATTTCACGAAGGGTGACCCTACGACATTTGCAGCGTGAGTTGCCTTTCACAAAAAAGGGTTTATGGAACTTACAGGCATTCAGGTGGGAATAGATAGGGAACCTAGGGGAGTACATACATGGCTAATTGTGTGGCACACATGGCTAATCTTGTGGCAACACATGGCTAATATTGTGGCGACATGGCTAATCATGTGGAGTACTAATATCAACAATAATAGCGGAGTCAAGAAACGCTAATCAGATAAGTATTCACTCACCCTGGGGAGAATTTTGGAGAGGCGGATTGTCCACACCGGGTAAGTAATGCATACGTAACAGTATGATAGGTGTGTGTGGCTTTGCCTTCAGGAAGTTAATTATTTCCTACCTGTTTGCTTAGGTTGTCTAGTAGTAGGTTAAGTGAGCGACTCCTTTATGGCACATTAGCAGTTATAAGACAACCTTTGGAAAACATAAATAAATTCTATGAAATAGAAAACTTTATGTGTCAAGAAGGTTGTCGCTCACTTACCGGTTAAGGATGGGATAATGCAGATTAACCTAGCGGGTTGTAGATGTAACGGCTTAAGTGGAAATGAATTTCTAATCCAAATTTAAGTTTTTCAGAGCATCCCGGAAGAAGTGATGCATGATGGGAAGTCTAACTTCCTTTCATGCTTCTTCCATATAGGACTGATATCGCAAAGCGAATTTCGGAGGCGAAAAACGGAAAAGTTCAGAGGTAGTAAGTGAGCAGCACATCAAAAATAGGTATGTTAATTCTATCATGATTTAGTAAGGTGCTAGAAAATTTCCCACCACCACCCCTTCCACCGACCATTTCACGAAGGGTGACCCTACGACATTTGCAGCGTGAGTTGCCTTTCACAAAAAAGGGTTTATGGAACTTACAGGCATTCAGGTGGGAATAGATAGGGAACCTAGGGGAGTACATACATGGCTAATTGTGTGGCACACATGGCTAATCTTGTGGCAACACATGGCTAATATTGTGGCGACATGGCTAATCATGTGGAGTACTAATATCAACAATAATAGCGGAGTCAAGAAACGCTAATCAGATAAGTATTCACTCACCCTGGGGAGAATTTTGGAGAGGCGGATTGTCCACACCGGGTAAGTAATGCATACGTAACAGTATGATAGGTGTGGGTGGCTTTGCCTTCAGGAAGTTAATTATTTCCTACCTGTTTGCTTAGGTTGTCTAGTAGTAGGTTAAGTGAGCGACTCCTTTATGGCACATTAGCAGTTATAAGACAACCTTTGGAAAACATAAAGCTTACTACACATATTACCCCGGGACTATTACTTTTCCCTTTGCCTATGGGATATGCGTCAAACTTCGACATATGGAGCTACTTCGTCATGGGGCTACTTCGACAATGGGATTGCCGATCATTCATATTTCTGGGGTCAGCCATTGGAGATTTCAATTTATTTAAATAATTTTCAAAAACAAACATAGCGGACTTCGTGAATCATAAATATAAACCAATGTCGAAATAGCTCTATTTCCGAAATAGCCCAATTACGTAGGCACATCTCTCCTATAATCAAATAAAATGGAAAAAACGTGAGAAATTTTTTTTGAAAAAAAAGAAAAAAATCAAGAAAATTAAACATCGGAAACTAGTTATATTAGTCGCTCTCTAGGACTAGATGAATCTGAAAATCATTCAAAAGGTATAAAGTAATTGACCTTACCTATCTGACATTATTTGAGTGTGACTGTATTATCAGAAAATATAAAAATATAAAAATTTAGTTGTCGATCTGAATATGATTATAGTCTCGTGAGAGTACCTGACATCTCGAATGACCTACTTTTACATATTGCAAATATAAAGAAAATATAATATAAAGAGAGATTTATCAACGATATTATAGTTATTTTTAGAATAAAAATATAATATTTATGCTTCTTAATTTGATATTTCAATCTAAATTATCATCGATATACATCAGTATTCAATCGAGACTTGACCTTTAAATCACGTGATCAATCGCGCGCCAATTCTAGAATTATTCCCGGGTTAATATTTTTACAAACAAAAAGAAGCAGCACAATTTTAACTTGGATTTTGAGGTAAATATGTATTTCTTCTGGTAGCCAACTATAACCTTTAGAAAGCAATTATACAAGAGTAGATTTCTGAATACATTTGGGTGTTGATTGTATTATTAGTGTATGGAAAAGTTTATTTCAATCGATCTAAAAAAAATCTGAATCCATCACTGCTCACTGAGATTCAGGACAACAGGTGTGAAGATTTTAGAAATAACGCCAAAACCTTGTTCAGATACTATAGATTCCAGATAAATTAGATATATGCGGGGTAAAAAATGCTTCTCATCTCCAAATTTTTTTGAAAAATCTAATAGATCTAAATCTAATTTTTACACGTAACAACGCCTAGCTTACTCACTTCGAGAGCCATGTTAGATTTTGAAACTTATGGCTCTCAAACGGAGAAGTGAACAGCTGATCAATAGTGACCTTTGAAATTGAATTAAGTCGATCCGCGGCTTACTTTTGGTAACTGTGTCTTACATCAGTATCATCAATCCGTGTAAGTATTGGAGCGCTGGAGTACTTCTCTTTCGATCAAGACTTGTAAATTGTTCATCGAGTTAAAGTTTTACAGACCTATTTCCAATATGGCGGTTTGCTAGGTGCGAGATACGCAACGAACGAAATGAATTTTGAGAATTAGTTAGGTTCGGACAACCTCCGGAGATTTACGAAAATGTCCGAGCAGAAACCGCCATATTGGAATTTGGCAGTAAAACGATTCACTCGACTAACAATTACAAGTCTTGATCGAAAAAGAAGTACTCCAGCGCTCCAATACTTACACGGATTGATGATACTGATGTAAGACACAGTTAGAGACCAAAAGTAAGCCACGGATCGACTTAATTCGATTTCAAAGGTCACGATCATTGAGCTGTCCAAATGCTCCGTGGGAAAGCTATTATATCAAAATCCAAATAGCTTTCGCAGGAAGTAACGCCTAGCCAAACTTGTCTGGCCCAGTTATCTACTCCCTGATTCTGAAATGTCGTAGATACTTTCTTTCATTAGAGCTCATCTGGCCCAGATCTACGATGTCAGGAGTAGATAACTGGATCAGATGGGTTTGGTTGAGTCACGCCCTGTAGCCTAGTCTAGGCCTAACGGAACACGATCAAAAAGATAATAAGTGGAGGGGGAGTAGACTATAGATATATCAATTCTTGTATCTGAACCTAAATGTTCTGAATTCTCAGTATTCAGCTTCAAGATTGCAAGCTATACGGAGTAGCCAATTCTGCTAGAAAATATAAAATATGTAAGATTTCATTTTTCAAGAGAAAGTTGATGAGTGAATCGTGAAATAAATATACAGTAGATCTATGGTGAAAGTACATAATATTAGCATTTTAAATGAAGTGTTTTGGCTTAAAGGGGCTTGTAGAGAGAAATAGGAAAATTTTAACTTTTTCTGAGCTATCAAGGCAACAGTTGGCTTAATTACCCAAATGCGAGTAGGTAGTTACCAGTTTCACCACCAGGTGGCTGATTCGGGTCAATTAACATGGCAGGTATATAAGAAAGTTCCCTTAAACTTGAATATTATGGCCCAATTTTCATATAACCCTTATGTGTCTGATACTTATACTAATGAAAATATGTCCAGTAAAGCAAAATATTATCTGTCCACTAAAAGAAAAGATATTTCATTTTTTGTGATTTTATAGCATGGGGTCTATGGGGAATCTCCCCGAGCTAGAAGTCACATTTTCAAAGAAAATTAATTTTTCAAAGTTGATAAACACTTTTTAAAACCACATTTCTAGATGTAATTTTACATGTAGATTTCAAATATGATATTACTTTGACTTAATTTTGAATTTTTAATGACTTAAATCAATATTATTTCTACTCGCATCTGGGTTATTTTCTTAAAATGTATGGATAAACTATCAATTTTGGCATTAAAAAGTGTAAATTCAGTTCAAAGCTTCAAAAAGGGGACATCCATTTTTATATTTTTAAGATCCACCATGTTTCAAGAGGAATATAAGCTGAAATAATGATTATCTAGGGGGTTTCTTTGTAGAAAATAAAAATAGATGTTAGTCTAGATGAAATATCCAAACTTAAATATATTTTGACACTTGTCCATGATCGTTGAATTGCCCCTCTGCACTACTTGTTGCACCTTTAAATGGAAAGATAAGGTCAATCTTTTTAAAAACTGGGTAAAAGTAGGCTTCATATGTGTGAAAGATTTCTTTGATGAAAATGGAAATATTTTATCAGAACACTATGTATTTAACCGTCTTAAAGACCAAAAAAAATTGGTTTTATGAATATTCAGTCATTCGAAATATAATGAGAAGTATAACAAATACTGTTGATACACTGTATGCAAACTTTACAAATATACAATATAAATATAACATCCTTGCTAACAATAAGTACCATTATATAATTAACAAAAAGTCAAAGTTGTTTTATAATATTTTAATTAGGCCAAACAAAGAAATACCTCCGTTTCCGGAACCCCGACCGACCCTCCCTTGAGACTCCCGACGCTGAAACATTTTTCAGCATTTGAAAATAAGATTTTTAATGTTGTGTTATATGTGCTTGTTAGATTCCTTAATGGATATTTAATTTTAATGCTGGGAAAACTTTTTTTTAAATATCTGGCACATTTGGAATATATTTATTACCTATCTTTAAGACCCTTACCCACGAGGCATTTACCCAATATACTTTCATCTATGTAATTGGACCTAATATAAGCAGGCAATTCCTAAAATTAATATTTGGTTTATCTATGGGCTTTCAAAGCCCATGGTTTATCCAATAGATTAACTATAATAAGACACTGAACATTGATTGCACTTAACACCAATTATAAAGGTATTTAAATGTGTCCACTCCAAGATAGATATTTCACAATATTATTTTGTTATCAGGGAAACACTGTAGACATGCTAGGAAAAGGATATAGATAATGTTTTCTTGTGTCAACAATTAAGTATAAATATATGCTACAGGAAGCGTTAAGGACATTATATAATTAGACTTTGGAACTGGACATCCTGGACAGAGACTCAAAAGACATCATCCATTGCACAATCAGTGTACATCTTTTAACTGTCTTTTTATTTGCTATTTTAGACTAAATATGACCACTAGAACTACCAGGGCGCAAGCCAAGCTAAACTTTCCTGTAAGGAAAACAAGGAATTCAAGCAGACTTCAGAAAAATGAAGAGAATATTGAAGCACCTGCTCAAAAACTGTTTGATGGTAAGTAGATTTTTATAGATTCAACAAAAATTGTTTAAACTTTTTTTGTCCCTCAATTAGTTTTGATCTGATTCATTTTGTGGAACGTTTTTTGCAAGGTTATAAAAAAAAAATTCATGTCTTCCAGAAAGCTTGAATGTGAAACCTTCAAAGAGCTCAAGAAGACGTAAAACCTGCACTGACCAAGAAAACAACACTAAAGCTACTCAGCAAGATGTCTTACCCACCCCGCCTCCCACTCCTATTATAAAACATACAATCTTAAGTGTCAAACCAAAGACTAAAACACCACAGAAAGAATATATAGAGACACCTAAAACATCTCAACCATTGATGTCTGTTCGACCATGTATGAGTCCACCACTTTCACCTAGAAAATCTCACTTGGACAACATACAGTCACCTCAGAAAGCTTTACTTTCTCCAAAGAGAAAAACACCCTCGAAATCTGGAGATATTACACCAAGCAAGAGGAGAAAGGAAAACTGTCCAACTCCAGTGAAAGATTCCCCAAAAAGTACTATCCCCACATCTAGAGTGCTCTTTGGACTGCCTGATGATCGTCCTAATACACCTCAATTGCAGACTCTTAAGTCTCAGACTCCATATTCAATGTGCCAAACACCTAGAAATCTTACTCCATTGAGATTAGCAAAGAGAGAAAGTAAGTCAAATAATACAATTGTTTAAGTGTAGTTAATGTTATTTTAACTATCTACACAGCCAATATAATTCGACACCGTTTCGGCATCGAACAAATTCGGCACCGTTCCAGCACCGTTACGACACCGTTCCGGCACCGAAACCTTTCAGCACCAAAATTTGCTACCGGACTAGTCAGTCCATTTGGTGCCGAAACGGCACCGAAACGGCGTCGAAATTCAGATTGCATTTTGGGGGTGTATATCATGAACCTCTAGCATTGGTGCATTGAATGAAATGACCCAGGCTGTTTAATGTGAAAATGTTATTGCTATTGAAACAATTTTAGTGGATCAGTAGATGGAAACTTCTATTACTTTTGTATTTCTTCTGATTTTAAGTAATTAACAAATGTGTTTATAATATTCTTTTCTGCAAACTACTTATGATTCAATATTATTCAAGGTCAGTGCTATTCTGCCATAAAACAGAATCTCCACACAGCCACGCCTACCACGCTTGTTGGTCGTCAGCGAGAACGCACCGAGATTGAGACTTTTTTGACGCAAAATTTGTCGAATAAGCAGGGCAATAGTTTATACATATCTGGGGCACCTGGTACTGGAAAGACTGCACTGTTAACAAAAATAATGGGAGAAGTCAAGGTATGTTATTTTCCTTTGCCAAATGTTTTAAGTTCAATATCAGTCTAGTGCCCAGTTGCAGAGAAAATATAAAATTGAGCATTTCTGTGCACTTAACTGATAAGATATCCTGTTGTTGGTTAGTTCTCACACATTAGCCAGCCATAATTTTATGGCTTTTGATTTGATAGGTGTCAATTATCTCTGTTTACATATGTAGATTAGCTTGGATATCAACATGTAAGACAATTAGACTCTAACAAGTTAAACTGTATACTTAACTTTAAATAAGCCTGTTTACCAATTTTGATTGAAGTTTGTACTGTTTGTGGAAATATAGTCATTGATCACCTGCAATGTTGTACTCCTGGTATTTTTCGCGTGCAATTTAGTTTTGTGCTTTTCGCGATTGTGGTAAAATCACAAAAATTAATCTGCACAAAATTGTCCCACAATCCCTCGGAGATTTGTGAAATCTTTAATTACCTGGGACTCCATTGCAAATTGTGTTTTGTAAAGTCTTTGTCAAGTGTTATTAGGAGATAAATGGGATACTAAGTATACAATGGCTTATTAGGTCAAATAATTATGATGTCATAGAGGTTTAAAGGTGCAGCATGACGTTAACCAAGATGACATAGTCGTAGGTGTACTTAATGAAATTCACGAAATTGAATAGCTGCGAAATCGCATTTTCTCACAATTAACTGGGAGTGCAGTATATCACTAAGACACAGTTAACATAAATCTAAATTGTATTGTCAGATTGTACGCTGTATGTATTTTGAAAAAAAAACTTAATGGTGATAAATATGATTCATTTTAGGAATGTAAGAAATGTAAGACCGTCTATCTGAACTGCATGACGCTAACCAACTCACGCGCCATCTATTCAAGCCTTCTTGGTGAACTCACCAATGGCAAAAACACATCAGGATCAAATAAAGATATGGTGCGGCAAGTAGAGAAGATCTTAACCAGCAGTGGCCAAATGATGTAAGTTTTAATAAAGAATGAACAATTGAATGTTATTAGATGTTCAAAAAGTTATTTGTTAAAAGTTCTACAAATTCTTGTGTATTTTTACTTTTTGAAACAACATTTTAATATGGGAAGTTTATCAAAAAGATTCTTGCGAAGCTAATGTAACAAAGGCTCAGACGCCCTCCCCAATGATTGATTACACCTTGTCAAACATTGCAGTTGCAATATCTCAAACTCAATGTTCAGTGTTTGTAGAATAAAACTTGGCTGATAACCCTTACCTCCCTATTTTTTTTCTTTATTCCAGTTTAATACATTTAAATATACAGAACATTGACTGCAAAAGTTAAAACTAGTTCTGCAAAAAGTGACACATAAATGGTTAAGTCAGCTATTAAGATTTGATTTCGAATTTCAGATTGCTAATCCTAGATGAAATTGACCAGCTAGACAGTAAAAACCAAGAGATTCTCTACACCATGTTTGAATGGCCATCACTCAAAAAATCCAGATGCCTACTGATTGGTAAGTTTATATCTTCATCAAAATAATTTATTCATTGCTAAATTTGTATCATTGCTTATCTAATCATGTCAGATTTCACATATTTGCTGACAAAATATTGTGTTAGGAATAATCTGTTGATTATCATTCTAGCCAATATAATACATTCTCTAGGCTAACACCATACAATTTCATTTTCCCTGAACTGGAATCGTTTATTTACAGCAATGTACAGGGTGTCCATTTTCTCCATAGCTATGTACAGGGTGTTCATTTGTTCCTTTAAGTAATATTCCTCAAAAACAAAATGATTTTAATTATAAGAAGTGGTATTATTATATGAGTACACATCACAGTTTGGGAAATATCATGGATTTTGAATGTTGAAAATTTTTAGTATCCATGCTCATGTTCTCCATTTTCCCAGGTATTGCCAATGCCTTAGATTTAACAGACAGGATCCTACCCAGACTTCAGGCCAGGCCAAACTGTAAACCAAGACTCCTCAACTTCTCACCATACTCCAAAGATGAAATCATCGCCATTCTAGAGGACAGACTGAAAAAGGTAATTTTTCTAGATACATAATGATAAGGGACGAACCTGTAGCATGTTTAGCTCACTTGGCTGAGTTCTAGTAATCACCCAAGTTATGTCTGTTTTAATATAGAACTTGAAAGTTGGAAAATATAATATGTAAAACTTATTATTACTCAGTCTTTTAAATACCATTTACATGGAACTGAAAGGCATGTGCATTATTCAAACGCTACATTTTCTATTCTGCAGAGTAACGTGGATGGTCAAGAGATCATGGACTCCAAAGCAGTTCAGTTCTGTGCCAGGAAAGTGGCTGCTGTAGCAGGGGATATGAGGAAGGCCTTAGATATATGTAGACGTGCAGTTGAAACCGTTGAAGCTGAAGTTCGCAGCCAGACTGTCTTGGCAACGAGAGGTTTGTACAAATAGCATTCCATTATCTAATATTGAAGCGGAAATAACCAAGAGTTTCTTATTTTATCCATAAATTAACTCAAGTTATACATCTAGTCTCTACAAGAATGAATCAATTCTCATTTCATATCTAGCCTCTCCCAATCTCCTTGAATTAAATGTATATCCTTACTCAAAAGAATGAAAGAAGATACTCATTAGGGGGAAGGGTCTTAATTAAATTATTCTGTTGTTTTTCAAGTCAATCTTAACCCCCCCCCCCCCATGTGATTTTTCAGATCATAATACAAACTTAGAAAAAAACACTGCTTGCTTTTGTTGCTTTTAAATATAATATGTGATCTCAAAAGCGAACAATCATAGGAGGGTATATCAAGTCCTCCTAGGGGGTTAGAGTCACAATTTTTTGCCTAAATAATTTTTAAGAAAAACCAGAAAGTTTCTGATCAAAAGAAAAAGAACTAAGAAAAAAACATCCCTTGCTAAATATCACTATATGCTATATAGAAAGTTTCTGATCAAAAGACAAACTAAGAAAAAAAACATCCCTTGCTTTTATAGATATGATATTGCTTTCTGATTACAGCAAGTCCTAGAAAATCCCCCAAGAAGTCTGTACCAAAGAAGATCACTATAGCTCACATAGCAAGGGTTGTGAGCGAGGTATATGGCTCTAAGGTGGTGGCTACCCCAACGCAACAAACCATACCCCTGCAACAGAAGGTCCTTGTCTGTACTTTGCTGCTCATGTTGAAGAATGGAAAAGCAAAAGAGATTATACTTGGCAAAGTGAGTCTTTCTTCCACAAAGAAAAATCTGGTTTTCTGAAGTTGAAACAGTGAGAAAATAGAGTACTATTTATATAAAGTCAAAATTAATGATGAAAGAATGGGGTATAATTTGAGAATAACGTACCTATTATGTCTGACAGACAGGCCAAGTCTTTCTATTTTTCAAATAACTTCAAATTTTTGCAGTGGATGGTAAAAAGGAAAAGGAAATAAAAATGCTGGACTTGTCCATCTGATTTTAAATAAGAAGAATGCATATCTGTGTCCTGTTGATACACTACCCAGTAATACAATTTTTTTGAGTTGTAATATGAATCTAAGTAGCTTTGAAAGTCCACAATCTTTGATAGACAACTTGTTTCAATGAATGTATTATCTGTTACGTTCGAAAATAACAGAAAGTAAAAACAGCAATTAAAATATGATAACAATATATTTATGTTTTGAAAACTAAATAATATAACAATAATATAAAGGAGGTTTAATACTTAAGTGATGTTCAATCAATGATACGGCTTATTCTTGATGTCGATAAATGTCGTTGACGATCCTTGAGAATGTTCCAGATCACGAAGGTTTCAATAATCGTTAATAGTTCTCCAATGTTTGTAATAATCCAATAATGTTTGTCGTAATCCTATAATGTTCGTATCCAATAATGTTTGATGATAATTCACAAATGTTTATGATAATCCACGAATGTATATGATAATCCGTATATAGTGTGTGTTGTAATATATGTCCATATAAAGTCCTCAGGTTGTGTGTTTGTAGTGTTATAAATGTTCCCACAGTATGTGTCTGTTATTTTCTGCTAAGAAGATGTCCTTTGATCAACTTTGAAATTCTGCTTTATTTAGTTCCTTTGAGATGTCCAGTTGATGACTTATAATTTATCTGCTAAGGAGAGTCACTGTGCTGTTCTTTTTATAATGTGAAAGAATGATCCAGAAACGAATCTTCTGGAACTACATCTTGATTGGACATCTTTAGTGACATGATTAAATTTTAATGAATGGTTATAATTTCTAGAACTATCTGGATGGTCAAGGGTTAATGAGTCATTCAGTTCAGTTTTGTTTACAAGATACAGTGTATAATGTCATTGTGACCTTGACCCAAGATCTCTAATGAAGAATAGCTCAACATATACAGCAAGCATAGATTACAAATTAAACTATAGGCGAATATAGTATAATATAATATACATGTAGCTCACTACTGTAACACCTCCCTCCTTAAAAGAAAAGTTTTGAATGCAATGAAAAACTTTTACAATAATATCTTGAGTAGCGAGCGTTACAATTTCTAAAAGTGAGGTTGAGACTTACATAATATTTGTTTACAATAGTCTTTTTATGTGCAGATGTTTACAAATAATATAATACTTTCTATCGTTACAGTGTGAGTACAATCTAATAACATATAATGTTCTGCAATAATGTGTTACAATAGTATCATACTACAATAGTATCAAACTAAGTTATGCATCAAGTCATAAATACAATACATGCAATAGATCATATAACTTGCACAATAGCATAATTTTTGAGTCTGACAAACACTAAAATAGTACAATGTTTTAAATTATCACATGATCTTATATAAGTATGTCTAATAGTACACTCTCATATTATCAAGTAATCTTGTGACACTATTTAATGATCACCTATAATGCTCACATAATCTTATAGTTCACATAATATCAATTTCACTATTTAGGCAAATGTTTTATATATTGTTAAAATAAAGTGACAGTTATCACATATATACAATTTGCCTATCATATAATATACTCTACATGAATTAATCACTATAATTTACAATATCTAAATCTTGAATAACATATAGTTATCATTTACATACAAGTTAGGCCTAAGACCTGAGAGCACAAGGTCATGCTGAGTAAGAAATTTATCACGCTCAACATACCTTTTCATCATGTGTAGCTCTCTACACCTCACAGGGGTAGTTTTGTCAATGCCAATGAAATCATTCAGCACTGAGTCAGATTGTAAGTCAGATATAAGCTCCTTTGGTAGCTCAACTAATGTGAAATTGTTGATTTGTGATTTCACAATATACTTGGTTTTGCTATTCCTAAGCATAGGGAGTGATTTTATTTCTAGAAACTGTGTGGCCATAGACAGAATAGTGAGCAGATATTGATTATCAGATTTTGTTTTTGGTAATGGACCAACACAGTCAGTAAGAACCTTACTAAATGGTTCATCAAATGCAGGTATAGGGTATAAAGGAGCAGTTGGAATTTTCTGGTTAGGTTTCCCTACGATTTGACATGTTTGACATGATCTACAATACTCTTGGACATCTTTTTTTAATTTGGGCCAATAGAAATGGTTGAGTATTTTATGGTATGTTTTAGTTACTCCTAAATGACCTGCCATGGGAGAATCATGAGCTAGACTCAAGATTTCCTTATGATACGATTTGGGGACAACAATTTGATGTACAATTGCCCAATCATCTTCAGGGGAAGCTTCAGGAGGTCTCCACTTTCGCATTAATATGCCATCATTTTTGTAGAAACATACAGGGACCTTGTCAGCTTCATCAATAGTAAGACATCTTTTATGAAGATCAATGAGTGATGGATCATGCTCTTGTTCATAAATTAACATGTGTTTAGAATGAGGATCATTTTTCAAAGAATCACTATCAGAAATAGAGGATGAAACCTCAGAACTAGAAGAGGATGAAACCTCAGAACAAGGAGAGGATGAAACCTCATGAACACTAGCAGAAGAAGATGAAACTTCATCAGGACTAGCAAGAGCGGGCGAAACCGCATTAAAATAGTGATCCTGCTCAGAAGGTGAATCACCTCTGGCAAAAGGCTTTTTCAATGAAGAATTTGCCTCAATAGATGACTGCTTGGCTCGAACAGAAGGCTGTTTCAATGAAGAATTTGCCTTTAAAATAGGATAAGGACCATCTTTAACAAGTGGCGAGTGACATTCATCATCAAACAAGGAGCTTAAAAACCCACTATCAAAGTCATCTCCCACAGACGAATCCCCGCTATCAGCTAACCTTTTAGCCATAGCCCTAGTAACAGCACAAGCAGGATATATATCAGAGTCCTCTTGGACAGAATCCTCAATAGAACAAGGCTGATCAGAAACAATGGGGTCTAATGATACCTTACCCCCAGCTAAATCATTGCCTAAAAGCAATGCGACTCCTTCAACAGGAAGTTGTGGCCTAACACCAACAATAACTGGCCCTTTGACTAACTCCGATGTGATATGAATACGATGGAGGGGAACTTTAGTAAAACCTAATTCAATGCCTTGCATCAAAATATGGGTACCTGTGAATGTCTCCTCAGATAAAGGAAGGACACCTTCTAACAACAAGGTCTGAGATGCACCCGTGTCTCTAAGAATCTTAACTGGCTTTGAATTGGTATCATCACTTGACAGTGACACAGATCCTTCCGACATGAAAGGCTTATAATCCTCCATAATATCACTATGAGTAGATTTCTCAGTATGAGTATATGAATCCCAAACAATGGGCTTTCTTGAAATGGGAACTGTAGCACAACCATTTGAATGAGCAGAACCAGACATCTCTCTTCTATTCTTAATCCTATAGCATTCAGAAATAAGATGACCAGGCTTTTTACAATAGTTACAGGTGACATTTGGTTTTGGACCTGAAGAATTTGATTGATCAGATTTTGAGCTAGAACTCTGTGATGAATTAGACTGGTCTTTTGCTTTGTTTGATGTATTAGATGATGAGGACTGACTTGATTTTGTATCATATGAAGGTTTGTTACCTTGATAACCTCTATAGTTAGGATTGCCCTTGATAAAACTACCCTTATGAGTAAGAGCATAATCATCAGACAGGGTGGCAGCTTGACTCAAAGTTTCTACCTTGTGTTCATCTAAGTAAGTTCTAATGTGATATTGAACACAGTTTTTAAATTGTTCTATTAGCATAAGCTCTCTGAGTTTTTTAAACTCTTCAGATACATCTTTAGAGACAAGCCACCTGTCAAAAAGCTGCTCTTGCTCTCGAGCAAACTCAACATGGGTTTGGTCACTCTGTTTGTGGGCATTTCTAAATTTTTGTCTGTAAGCTTCTGGCACTAGTTCATAAGCTTTAAGAATTGCATTTTTAACTAGGTCATAATCAGAGCATACTTCTCCTGAGAGAGAGGCAAATATTTCACTTGCTTTACCAATGAATACACTCTGGAGCATAACTGGCCATGCTGATTTAGGCCAATCGAGGCTTTGAGCAACTTTTTCAAAATGCGTAAAGTATTTATCAACATTTTTCTCCTGAAATTTAGGTACAAATTTGAGAAATTTTGAAGCGTCAAATCTATTTTCAAAATGTTGATGCATAGTAGCATGTTCATCAGTTTTGGATTGAGCTTCTATTTCCAAACGTTTTAATTCAATTTCTCTTTGAATTTCTTGTTCTCTCATTTGTCTTTCATTTTCTCTTTTTTCTCTTTCATTTTGCATTTCTAACTCTTTTTCTCTCCTTTCATTTTCAAGCTCTTTTTCTCTTATTTCAAGCTCTTTAAGCCTTATAGGATCTACAGCCTCAACATGCTGGACTGGCTCTACAATAAGCTTTAATGCTTCTTCTGGTAATATTTCTTCCGCTACCAAATATGGTACCAGAATATTTTTTATTGCACCTTTTCGGTATGAAGTTTTTACTGCCAAACCAACATGTTTTGCTAGTGCCAGAAGTTCAGTTTTCTTTAACTTGTCAAACTCCTCCAAAGAGGGCTTTTCTAAAAATGTCTCAACCTCAAAACTCATTTTTGATTAATTGCTGTCTTCACAAGTTAGATTTACAATTTTGGAATTTTGAATTTTAAGATTAATGAATTTTAGCTTGTTGTAGTTGTATCCCGGACGAGCCCCCAATTTCTGTTACGTTCGAAAATAACAGAAAGTAAAAACAGCAATTAAAATATGATAACAATATATTTATGTTTTGAAAACTAAATAATATAACAATAATATAAAGGAGGTTTAATACTTAAGTGATGTTCAATCAATGATACGGCTTATTCTTGATGTCGATAAATGTCGTTGACGATCCTTGAGAATGTTCCAGATCACGAAGGTTTCAATAATCGTTAATAGTTCTCCAATGTTTGTAATAATCCAATAATGTTTGTCGTAATCCTATAATGTTCGTATCCAATAATGTTTGATGATAATTCACAAATGTTTATGATAATCCACGAATGTATATGATAATCCGTATATAGTGTGTGTTGTAATATATGTCCATATAAAGTCCTCAGGTTGTGTGTTTGTAGTGTTATAAATGTTCCCACAGTATGTGTCTGTTATTTTCTGCTAAGAAGATGTCCTTTGATCAACTTTGAAATTCTGCTTTATTTAGTTCCTTTGAGATGTCCAGTTGATGACTTATAATTTATCTGCTAAGGAGAGTCACTGTGCTGTTCTTTTTATAATGTGAAAGAATGATCCAGAAACGAATCTTCTGGAACTACATCTTGATTGGACATCTTTAGTGACATGATTAAATTTTAATGAATGGTTATAATTTCTAGAACTATCTGGATGGTCAAGGGTTAATGAGTCATTCAGTTCAGTTTTGTTTACAAGATACAGTGTATAATGTCATTGTGACCTTGACCCAAGATCTCTAATGAAGAATAGCTCAACATATACAGCAAGCATAGATTACAAATTAAACTATAGGCGAATATAGTATAATATAATATACATGTAGCTCACTACTGTAACATATCGATAGGCTTAAAATAGCTTTTATATGTTGACTGCTACTCTCTACAGAGTTACTTCAATATTAAAGTAAATATCTTTATTTCCAGTTGCATGAACAATACTGCAAGATATGTAGCAAGCGTAATATGACTGGAACTGACCAATCAGAGTTTCTCAGTTTGTGTGGTCTGGTGGAGTCTAGAGGCATCATAGGCATTAAGAAAGGGAAAGACACTAGATTAACAAAGGTAAACACGCAGACATTATACTTAAATTACATTACGTGAATTTTTGGTCTATGTTTTCATTTTTCACATGGAACTAAAAACAGGCTACCTTCCCTTCCAAGTTATTTTTTTTCCGCTCGATCAATTTTTTAATGGAATTATGTCTAAAGTATCAATTTCATGATTGTACGCAGAAATGAATTGTTTACTGGATGGTCAGAAATTCAAAAAGAAATTAAAATCCTGCTCTGAAACTGATTGGCTGGCTGGGTTCAAGTCACTTGATGGTGCTCGTTCCACGTGACAGGATTTCCTTCAAATAGAATAAAGATATTATATGAGCAATTATAATGGGGCATCACTGATTTTCTAGAAAATAAACCGAGGATACATGCATCTTTAAAAGATCAGCTTTCCATTGTTATTGAATTTTCTGCATCTCATGTTTTCAGATCTCGCTGAAGCTCGATGAGAAAGAATTGGAGTTTGCGCTACAAGACAAAACGCTGGTGACATCTATCATGAATGAAGGAATTATCAGATAGGACGCTAGCAATAAATTTGCTCAATCACATTTATAAAATGCAATGTTGAAAATTATTGTTAAGAATAAGATGTTAATCAGTGATTCTAAATTAAGATGTGTATTTTACTTTTTTATTGGATAAAGTGTGTGACAATTTTTGAGTACATTATTGAAATGCTCAGTGAAACATTTTAAATTGCAGTTGAAGTTCAAATTCTTAATTTTGATGTTCCAGTTCAGATTGAATTTTTTTCAATTGTAAGTCTTTCAAATATAGATCATATCCCATTTCTGTTAAGATTTTTTATAAATAAGTTTTAGTCTTATTTTTTTTTATTTATGAAACAGAAATATTGTATGGTTTTATCGAGAATTCTCAGATTTTATTTCTTTGTTATATTTTAAAAAGATAGTTGATGCCTTCTAAAAATAGGGACATCATTGATTTTAAATATATATCTATTATCTTAGTACAATGTATTTATTGGTGTATTTTAGCATGGATACTATGTATGATATAATCACAATCAAAAATATGTGTTGTGTAATGTGTATTAGATTAAATAATTATAAATAAATTATTTTTCCTCAAATTATGTTCGTGTTTTCTCTATCTATATTTATGATCAACTTAAGATTTTAAAGCCTACTTCTATTAATATCATTTCAGTTAAGCTATCCAAACTTCATCAGAATATTAGTATTCAGGAAACCAAAGCAAACATTCTGAGATTAATTTTAATGGCAAATGTTTCCAGTTTTTAAAAAACATCAAATGTGACAGTGACATCTTCCCTCTGCTGATAACTCCCTCCCTCTGATTTGCTAGAGTAGGAACATTTAAGACTAGAGCCCAAAGATGATCATCTATCAAAATTAAAATTTAGGGAATAAGGAATACAGTATCATTCTTTTTCTTTATTGGAAAGGAGTGGTATTGATATGGAGAACTTTTTGAATACACGTTTCTCTTAAACCAGTCATAAAAAATTTAGCACATCGTCAATTTAATGGTCATCTTTTGAATGGTAACAATATAATTTGAAAAATATATATATATACTTTCATCTATATTGTTTTAGGAAACACACCAAACACTTGTTTTGTTCTTGGTATCATGTTTCCAGAGTGAAATGAAACATCTTTCCGAAACCTCATTGGAACAAAACGACATAAACACAACATGTTTAGATCTCTCAATATTGTAATTGTACAAAGGAAATTTTGGTTGATTTTAAAAAAGTATCTTGTTAATGAAATAAAAGGTTTATCTTGATTTTTATCTATTTTGGGGGACTTTGTTTTAATTTTTTGAATACTTTTTTAAAATCAACCAAAAATTCCTTTGTATAACCATGGAATAACTATAATATTGAGAGGTCTAAAAACATGTTGTATATGCTATTTTCTGTTCCAACAAGGTTTGGAAAGACATTTTATTTCATTTTCAAGAATTGGAATTGCACTAAAAAAAAAGTTAACAAAAACAGTTATATAAAATATTTCTAAATCATTTTCGCATTAAATTGTTGTCAATCAGTCAACATTACATAAAATACCGTGTTTTTTTACAGAATGTTTTCAATGATTGGTTTCAGAGAAAAACATTGTTGAATTCAGTTCTCCATATCAATACTAATCCTTTAAAAGCATGAGTGCTAACCCGTACACATAATGCACAAGTATGGAGCCTGAGTACATAATAAGGATGGGTTAGTGCTGAGTACATACATGAATCCAAGAATGATTCAGGGTTCTATTATTGCGATACAAATATTCTAGGACTCCTTTCTGAAAAAAATGGCATTATCTGGTTCTTTCTGAAACCATAATGCACTCTTTTACAAATGGCACATATTTAAATTAGTTCACAATGAATGAAGCAAATCATATCATTGTAATTCTAAAGATGGCAGTACAAGCTTGACTAATTTTCCTAGGAAAAATTTAGAATTTCGTTTCACATCTAAAGTTTCGCATATGATTATCAGATGCAAAATGTCAGAAGAATCCGGTGGAAATCATCTCTGTTTTCATTAGGATTACTCGAAATATATAGCTGTAATCGAAGAATATTTATGTAAGTATCAAAATGATTTATATAACGCTTTATTTTGTAGTAATTATATATGATTTGAACCATTATGATCCTAGAGAATGTCATGAGATTTTATGGTAGACTCTGTAATGATGTCCAGGATTTTCCAATAATTTTTTCAGACATATTTTACAGATTTTTGCTTGGAGAATATCTACAGCTTTAGTATTGGTTTAGGTAACAGTATTGTTCTTTGTATTTGTTCAAACAAATGTTTTTTCATGGTTTCCCATCTGGATAGGAAAAAACTGTAGCCTATAAAGCCCCCGGATAAAGCCTTTGCTCCATATAGTGAACAGAAGCCCCCCCCCCGGAGCCCCCCCCCTTTATCTTAGCTATAGGTTAGACCAAGTGCGGAAAGAAGTTTGAAAAAAAGGGTATACCATTTTTTCAACGTATTATGTTTACACGATTCTCCTGATGGAAGACATTTATAGATTATATACTTCCCATTATCAGTGCTTTGCTCGCAGAGTATAATATCAGGCCCGTAGCCAGGATTTACCCGGGGAGCGGTTTTACCATGGGTTGAGCTTTTTGACAGTTTTTGGCAAAAAATCATGCGAAAAGCTGTAAGTTATCAGCTGCTTCTGTGTTGATCAGGACTGTCTTTATCCCGGAGTAGACATTTTCTTGCAAGAAATCAAAATGGTGGTATTGACGTTAATTTTCAAAGTGGCGTCCAGAGATTTCAGAAGGAACTTAAATAATGGCTGAACTTCCGGTAGCTTTTAAATGTATTATTTGGCCAGTACGGCAATATTGAGGTATCACGTGTACCTACGTTTAATTGCTAACTTGAGCTGCAATGTTGGCGAAAATACATTTGAACTCCCTTCATACCTCTACCTGATATTAAAAGTAAATAAAGTCTGCATATAGGACCTTTAAAGAAAACACATATAGTACAGTGAAACCTGTAAAGTGGAAACCTATAGAAATGGAACACTTCTGTTAGTGGAACACTTTTCAGAGTCCAACGGACCAACTCCAAAGACCAACTTACTTGTTAAATGGACATCTATAAGTGGAACACCTCCATAGTGGAACACTTTTTAGAAGCCGAAGACCAACTGACTTACTTGTTAAATTGAACTCTATAAGTGGAATACCTCCCAAGCAGAACACTTTTTAAAGGTACCAAAGGTGTTCCACTTAAACTGGTTTTACTGTACATTTGGATGATATTTGCTCATTTTAACAGTCAATGTGAAGGGGGCTTGATCGACTAGTGATACCTATCTCCCAAGTATCCTCTTAAAATATTATGTGCTCATTTGTTTCTGAAAAATATTTAATGATTCGAATTAGCAAGTTTTAGCAGAATAGGTTTTAGATAAAATTATCGAACTTATTATTCATTAAAAAATATTAAATTCTTCCCTGGAAAATTAGAAAAGTTTGAGTCTCCAAACAAAAGCATGATGTATCAAACCTAAAGCAGCAAATGAGCATGTCCCCTTAAAAGAAAATTGAATTAGAAGTAAAAGAAAAGGAATGGTAGAATTACCAAAAAGATATAACAGTAGCCTATTATATGAAGAACTTTAACAGGTTTTACTGTTGAGATAAAATCTATTGCTAGAAATCATTTTTTTCATTTTATCCATGAAACCTTGATAACATTTGGAAGAGATGAGCCTCTTAGTTGAGAAGATCCGTTCCAACCACTTCAAGCAAAGATAAAACAAGCTCTCCAAGTCTAAACACTATACTTCTAATTTTGTTATCTCCAAACACTGCTTCAACCTAAATAGTCTTTGAACTTATCTTATAGTTCTTACTAAGCCTGATTGAACTAAAACAGCATCTTCCCTAACTGTGCTCTTAATATAAATATAGCCAAAGAAATTGGTATATCAATCATCTATTTACATTTACACATACCGCTTGCATTCTTTATAAAGTTAAAAATGTAGATATAAAGTAAAGTTAATGACTGATATTGAATAATTAGTAAGAAATTATAGCTTTTTCCTCATGACAATCACCCTGCATTTAATGAAATAGATTGAAGAGCTTAAAACAGCACTTGAAATAAATGCATGAAAAAGAGCAGCTCATGTGAACAATTTTTGATTAGATTATACACAAGCTTAGATAAGCATGTGATTAAAAAGCCTAAGTGAGCACACATAAACACTATATAAGATAAGCATATGAACAGAGTGAATGCCAAATAAAGGTATTTTTATTTGTTTTACATACATATACTACTCTTCTTTTTAAGAGGTATATTTTTTCTCAACAAGAGTTTCAATTTTGACATTGAACTTCTCTTTTAATACCAGCTCCCATTGTACAATTTTATTAATGTGCTCCAATTTTTATTGGAGTACATCCCGGACTCTCTATCTTAAGTTAATATGTAGATTGCCTGTTTGAAGCTCATCATTATCAATTAATAAATAATTCATTAATTTGCTGTTCCATTATTTAAAGATGTTTTCTCTGGAGATTTGTAACATGCAAGCTAGCCCATATCAAATATTTAGACCAAACATGTAATTTTCAAATATAATCACGTCACGATTAACCATGACATCTCATTTCTTCTCAGCCATGTTTCTAGTGAAACAGAAAGATGCAGAGTATCAGAATGATATATAATCATAATATATATCAAAATACTCTAACGTCTGTCATAATGATAATCATTATTAATTTGATATTCCTCCACATTGCCAAATTTGATCTTCTGATATTACTTTCCAATGAGTCTGAATATCTTGGAACTACTGAAACATTAGGAATCTAGTTGATGTAGGTCTAGATCAAATAATCTAGGATATTAACCTTTAGCGTGCTGCCGGCGGACGAGTCCGCCGAGACTAAAATGTCTCTCACAACTGCCGGCGGACCCGTACGCCCGATTTCAAACTTTTAAAAACTTTACTTTTTCGCGCCATTCGTATTGTCCAATTAGATTGCCCGATATATTCAGTGCCTAACATGACTTCCTGTTGACCTAGAAATGGCGATATTTCGAAAAATAATTCTCAATTCAACAATTTAAACAGTGTTTTAGTCGTTTTTAGTGAACGAATCGTACAAAATGGCGGACAAATACGATCACAACGAAAATGTGGAGGAAATGAATTACGATTTCGAGCTCTTTAGGCTCTTGGAAGCCGATAACGGTCATCGAAAATAGAAACTAGAATATTTTCTGAATTGAAAAATTGAACATTCGATCGCTGCAAGTTCAGATTTGGATTCTGACCAGACGAAGAGGCGGAGCGGCGGATTCCGGAGGAGTATTCATGGTATATTTATGCCCAGTCGTGTTAATGTACGAATAAATTCATGAGAACATTTTTTTCATGAGCCAGGCCACTGTATCTTCCCTTTGTGAAAATTTTATCCAGATTCATTCAGTAGTTATTGAGATATTAATTATTTAATCATTTTTTGCACTCTTTGAAAAATAAGCCAGTTGCGTGGGATATATTTGCTGAAATAAGGCAGCATGGTAAAGGTTAAATGCCTTGAAAAAGTTATGTAATCATGTGTAAGTATTAATAATTGATACATGGAGATAGATTGGATTATGACATGATACACAATGATAAAGTACAAGAGGCAACATTTCAAGATCACTTACGGTACCACAGGCTGGTATCGAAATATTTGTCCGCTGTGACGGAGCATGCTATTTTTCATAAAAACACCTAAGAAAACTTCACGATTTATTTTTTAACTCATATCTTTCGTCATACCATACAAAATTACTTACTCCATGCAATGGATATATCATTTGAGGGTAACTTTCACTTCTGTTTGAAGTCCAATTACGCTGGGAAGAAAAGCTATTGAAAATGGCGTCGGAGTATCATACTTCAAAATGTACCATTTCTTGTTTAACTTTCTAATGGCACGATGTAGTGACACGATAATATTTACACATGGTTTCAGCATAACTATGAAGGTCTCAATGAGATGTTAATGTTTTTTGATCTTTTTAATTCTTTTATAAAAAATAATGTTTAATTTTTTTGTCCGCTGTGACGGAGCAGTTGCAAATGTGAACTGTGAAAATGCTCCGTCACAGCGGACAAAAAATATTAATATTATTTTTTAAAAAAAAAATTAAAAAGACCCAATGCATTAATATATCATTAATACATTCAGAGTTATGCTGAAAACATATGTTAATATTATCGTGTCACTATATCATGCCATTAAAAAGTTAAAAAAGAAATGGTACATTTTAGAGTTTGATACTCTGGCGCCTTTTTGCAATAGATTTTACTCCTAGCGTTATTGGACTTCAAACAGAAGTGAAGGTTACACGCAAATGATATATCCATTGCATGGAGTAAGTAATTATCTTTGATATAACGAAACATATGAGTTCAAAAATAAATCGTGAAGCATTTCTAGTGTTTCTATGAAAAATAGCATGCTCCGTCACAGCGGACAAATCTTTCGATACCAGCCTGTGGGTACATATATATGTAACTTTTATTAACATTTAGTATCATAATATGATTACACACTTGTAAACTACGAATACTAACTAAAGCAAATGTACAAAAATATATACGAGATATACAAAAAACAGAAATTAATTTTTTTCTTCAAATATGTTATTTATTAGATACGTACATGTACATTAATAGCAAAGTGTATATTCAAATATGTTATTGCAATATTGAGGTGTATATTAATGCCTGGGCAAAAACCGCAGGCCAAGCGAAAAGTATAGCTCCATTGACCTCAATACAAATGCTTCGCTAGGTATGTAATACTACTTAATACTGCAGACATAATATAAGTATCAGAGCAGCATTGAAAAAACATATTACATGAACATTCTGTTATTGGCCTTTGGTTAATTTATAGAAACCATGAGATACATGAATCACAAGTTCCGCCTTTAACCAATTTTGAAGTGGGTTGTTTTCTGTTATTTTACAAGATACAGACCAATTAATCTAGTAGACTCACCTGAGCCATCTTAACCCTTAACCTATAGAATAACCTTAACAATATGAAGCGAATAATCTAAGCAAAGAATTTCTTAAACCCTCGACCTACAAAATAACCTTAGCTGATATATATGCAAGAATAGGAAGGCTTTCTTTCCTAGGTTGTTAAATGAACTTCTCTTCTCTTCTCCCCATGTAAAGTTTGAAAATATGTTTTTATCATTCATTTACTATTTGTCATGACTTTAAAAGTTATTTTAGAGATTTTTGTCAGCTTTTCATTTCTTGGATATTCAAATTTTCCCGCCATTTTTCCAAAAAAAGATGAAATTTTTTAATCATCAAATATTCCATGTTATTCCATAGTTAGCATGATATTCTTGGGATAACATGTGAAAATAAAAACGGTATTTTTGTAATCAGTGGTAAAATATGATATTTTTGACAAATTTTCACTTAACCATAGCATACGTTTTTTTAGCCATGACATACGGCGCCGTATGCGATGGTTTATGGGTTTTTGCTACTTCAGACTCAAAACGAGGCTAAGTGTCAACATCGCCAGATCGTTTGGAAAATTCGAATTAAATAACTTAATTTCCGACGATTCTGATGATGACTTTTAACTATGGAATAAAAAGAACATCCTATGATTTACTCGTGATATGATTTTAATCCACTCATGGATATTGATATCCCGCTACGCTCGCTCGTGCAGATAAAAATCATATCACTCATAAATCATAGGATATCCTCTATTTATTCCATAGTTAGCATAATATTCATAGGATAACATGTGAAAATAAAAACGGTATTTTTGTAATCAGTGGTAAAATATGATATTTTTGACAAATTTTCACTTAACCATAGCATACGGTTTTTTAGCCATGACATACGGCGCCGTATGCGATGGTTTATGGATTTTTGCTACTTCAGACTCAAAACGAGGCTAAGTGTCAACATTACCGGATCGTTTGGAAAATTCGAATTAAACGATTCTGATGATGACTTTAACTATGGAATAAAAAGAACATCCTATGATTTACTCGTGATATGATTTTAATCCACTCATGGATATTGATATCTGCACTCTCTCGCTACGCTCACTCGTGCAGATATCATATCCATTTGTGGATAAAAATCATATCACTCATAAATCATAGGATATCCTCTATATCCACCATACATTTCAAATAAGATTATCTTTTTAACTGCACCAATACAAAGATTGAACAAAGGATACACTATTTCAATAATAAAATGTCATGTTTAATGGGCCACTTCAATGTTTTAGCATAATATTTTGCAACCTAAGTGATGTCATTAGGACTCACTCAGGTTGCAAATATTTTTTGAAAAAATTGAAAAAAAATTTCTTTGTCAATCTTTTCTAAATATGCTGAACTTCAAAAATCAATCAATGTTGATTGCCTAACCATAATAGGAAGGAAGAATATATTATGTTTTAGATATTATTGTATCATTGGTTTCTATGAGAACTAGAATATTGAAATGCATTTTTTCTGAACCATTTTCATGCATTGATGAGTTCATTTCTTGCTTATTTCTGAACCGATTTTCTTAATTTTTGCAGCAAAAACATGTGAGGATGAATGCTATGCATTAGTATGAATTACTGCTCATTCGAACATGACTGTATTCATGCCTTCTATAAACTGTGAACAAAGTCAATGCTTCAGCTGGGTTATATTCGAGATCAATTCCCCGACTCTGTACTAAGTGTTTCGTTCAGTGCACTCATTGGTCAGTTTAGGCCGTTCCGTTCTTTTCGCATCCCCCTCTCGTCTGCAAAATTCAAAATGGCAGCAATCCTAAAGCTTGTAAAATTATGATTCAAAAAGGTTATTTCAAGTTCTTATTCAATAATCAATCTTTTAACCTTCTGTACGTATATAAAATAATGTGGTAATTGATTGTGGTCATGAACATCTTAGAGGAAAACAAATTATTGATGCCAATAGTGGAGTTATGTGTTATGTATGGAGGTACTTAGTACAAATGCATTTTTCTTTGAAAGGTTATGTTATTAAATAATTGCCACAAGCTTTGAACCTTGTTAGCATTCTAACCTCAAGAATTTAGATTAATATGAATATGAATTTTTTAAAAGTTGTTGCGGTGATGCATACTGCCAGCCAAGGTCAGGGGTCTCTTGAAACCCAATGGTAAAATTTGCACTCACGTTTTGAAAGTAATTATTTATAAGATTTTTAAGACATTTGGTAGACCCCCTTCTTTGAATAATTTGATATGAGTATTTTTGAATATCCATTCACATATGTGCCACATGTACTATCATAGCAGACAGGTTGATGTCTGAAAATGGGATGTTTTTGCTGGGTGTGTTTGTTTAGATATTGCAGCATATGAACCTTTTACCTATCAAGCCTTTATTTTTAACCTGACTAATGTAAGAGAACAGAGTTTAGCCTGACATTTGCCAAGTTGTATTTCCTCTCTGATTTTACACTGTTATGTTTGCTACATCGCCAGTTACAATCACATATATTTCTTAGTTCACTTTATCACCCTATTTACCTGAAAAGGTTCGATTGATATAGATGGTAAGATACTATATAATGAGAGATATCTTTATTGTGAGGATCAGTTTGTTGATTTCTACACATAATGTTGAGCCCATCTAACCATGGTTTGAGTGATAACATGGATGCTACCATTAACAACCTAACATACACAGGTGAACTTGCTTCGTTAACAGGTAAAATTCAATGGTAATTTTAACGAGGTAAATACTTGATAGGATTTATGCGTGGTAAGGGGCAAAACAACAGGCAACCCCCAACTGTTCAAATATAAAACAGAATCAGTGAATTAGCGTAGCGTCTCTGATCTCTACTAATTCTGAATCTATCTGCCTGACAGGAGCTATTCCATGGGATTTTTCTTATTTTCTTTTTTGAAATGTTTGAACATACGTGGTGATTCACAATGTGGATCCGTGAGAACATAATTTTGTTTCAAACTATAGTTAGTGAAAATAACAAATAAGAAAATAGTTCAAGTAGAATCATGCCTCAAGAGGCATTGCAAATCCAAAATGTGCAGAATGTAATAAAATTATGATTACATTGCATATCAATACAATTTTCTCTCTTTTCCCTTTCAAATTAGCAATGATATTTAACCATATTATTACGAGAATGAAAGAAGCAATTATGAAATAATTCATTCTACGTCATTCTGTATTGATTCATGTGTGGAACATTCTAATACATAATGTTATTGCAGAGAGTCTGAAAATCTATAAATGAGAATTCCTCCCTGCATAATTAGTATCAATATGTAGTAAGAAATTTCTATAATCAAGCGTATATACATGTAGTAAGATTGTTTACTGAAATTATCATGACACATTACATTATTTTCACAATTGACTGTAAAGGATCATTGAAGGAATGTTTGAAACTCACAGAATTTGCCATAATTGTCAATGTCTACCATATTTTACATTTGGTATTGAACTTGATTGCTAGCTTGGTAAATTGTGGTGATCATGTTTCAACCCCCTGCTCCCACATTTGAGATTATTAAGATTTCATGTAACGGGAAATTCAAGGTTATTACATTTGAGTTAAGAGGTAGAAACTGATGGAGTTTTTTCATTTTACACAGTTTTCTATTAATAAGATCTCAGATAAAACCTCATATTACTTCTGTCTTCAAGCATGGTCTTCTTCATGAAAAATGTTGTAGGATTTGTCTGTTGGACAGAGAAATCAATAACTCGCCTAGTTCTGCTAAACTCAATTCAAAGAAGTATTTGTAACCCTTACATTTTTCTAATAAATATACTTCATTTAATGCATTTGCACCTTAAATATAAAGCTGAAAATAGTCTAGATGAACCAGGTTGCATGTATTCTGTTTTATTTGATATTTTTTATATTTCTGAGAATGATATTAAGGTATGGAATTAATTTGTTAGTGATGATTTAATAAGACATTTCTAAATTATAGTAAGAGTTCTATTAATTCTATGATGCCAATCAATGCAAACGATTTGCCTCTTAGGAAGTTTTAGAACAGACAAATTGTCTGATTTCTAAGAATTTTATGTTTATAATGCCATATTTGAATGATTTGTAAGATTATGATAAGAAAATAATGTACTTTTGGTATATTAATTATACATTTCCCCGAAAATCCTCAAACCCTCAACTTGTGTTTTTCAGATAGTGCAATGAATCTGGAAAGTTCGAGGTTAGGTGGGTTTAGGACTCCCATCCAGCATGCCCTTGACGTCAATGAGAATGGAAGTGGGGAGTATAATGCAACACAGCATCTCAGGAACAACCTAACCCTGGATCTCGACAACCAGGTACTGTTTAACACAACTGTTTATGTCTGTGATTCACTGGAAAGTCTCATAAAGTATAAATTTTGTTTTTATGACTGGTGAATTTTTAAACAGTGGTTTGATAACAAATCCTAGAATTCTGCAGGCAAAAATGAAATTATGCAGCAAAAAATGCAAAATTATGCAGGGAAAATGCAAATTATGTAACCGCATTTCAAAAAGTTCAGAATCATGCAAAATTAAAATGTGCCGCATAGAAACATAATTTTAGGATCTGTGTTTAATGAAATTTATTATATTACAATGGAATGACTGAATGCTTTACTGTTTGGGCTGGAGTTATGGTCATTTTAATTGGCAGGATTATCATCTCACGTATCTTTCAAAAAGTATATTATACTGCTAAAACCATCAAATATTTTACTCAAACGAAGAGTTAGTAATATAAATAAGACCCTAAGTCATGGTGATGGCTAAACCAAAGTCTAAATGCATGAAGTGTGCTAGAAATTCACATCATATGTGAAATTAAAGCAATATGAGTATTATGGGCATGATGATATCTCCTCCAGATTGAGAAAACAGCAGTATTATCTGTTGAGTCATCATCTTTCCAATTTCCAAAAAGAATGTAAAAAGAACATGCTTATTTATTTATTTTTAAGATGGTACAGTTATGTAATATTACATATTCAATGACAATTCACAATAGCTTCTACTCTCTTAAAATCAGAAATGATTCTTCTTACATTTATAATCAGAAAAATAATTGACATTCGTTTCACAATAAAATTTTCATAAAAGGTCATGAAAAGAACATTTGAGATTGTTAAGATCTCATAAGTATCAAAACTTATCAATTTATCTGTGAAAGTCAAACTTTAAAATTATCTGTTAATATCAGAGGATAGTACAATTTGCTGATAGGTCTTCAGGGTTGTATAAAATGCAAACTTGAGCATCTTCATTTTGAACATCTATATAAAACGTCTCAACACATAATAGACTAAATGCGAGTAGAAATGATCTTGATTTACGTCATTAAATATTCAAAATTCTAGTTCGGGTTGATTCCCCATAGACCCCATATTACAAAATCACAAAAAGTGAAATATCTTTTCTTGTATTGGACATATAACATTTGCTTTTACTGGACATACTTTAATTTGCATAACTATTAGATACAAAAGGGCTATATAGAAATTGAACCACTAAAACCTATGTAATTTAAGTTAAAGGGAACTTTCTACTATACCCCCATTCTATCTGACCCGAGCGAGCCACCTGGTGGTGAAACTGGTAACTACCTACTCGCATTTGCATTATTAGTCAGACATAGATAGTAGCATTTATCACACAAGCAGATCCCCAATCTGTACATTTCATGTTTGATTATAAACACGGGAATATACGTGAGAAGTGTCACCCGTTTACTGTACATTTGATGTTGAAATATATATGAATAAATAAATAAATAGAAAAAAATAAATAAATAAAAAAACTCCTATGAGTTGAAGCTACAGAGTCGATTTCTATAAAATCATATTTCTTCAGATAGGATACACTGTTAGACTTCGAATGTAATAAACTGTAATGCAATATCTGCTGTGATTGATCACTAGGCCAACAATGATAATTTCTTGAGTCATGTTGGAGCATACGATTAAGCTCCCTACAGAATCTAATTACGCGGTAGCACTTTGTAGCGTTCATGTTTCCCACTATAGCTCTTATAACGAAGATAACATGTATTGATCATACGGGTACTCATCGCACATTTCTATTTCATGATATACTGTATTGATCACAGTGTGCATCCTAAACCATTTGGAAATATATGTTACAATATAAGCCTTTAACAAATTACTATTAGATGGAGTCAGTGTACAAAAATTTATGGATATGGCTCGTCATCAGAGATTCCTTCTCTAAATGGCATTTACTGGACCTATTTTTAAAAAAAGTGGTAAATATATCAGTCGAGTCGGGATCCATATTTGGCCAGGCCTGCATTTATAATGGGCCAAAGTATCAGTGTTTCCTCAAAAGTATTCCATTTAATCAAAATAAATAAAATAATGAATTGATTGAGTAGGTAACATTGAGTAGCACTATAAAGAGAAGCTTGATATATATTTTATTATCTTGACTTGATAAAAACCATATCAACAAAATTCTCAGGATATCTTTTTGGATTCTAGACTGTACTGCAAGAGTAAAATCTACCCTTAATTTTGGCATAACACAATGTTGTTTTCTTCTGTTTTTAATTTGTTTTTGGCCAAGGTAAGCTGTACTTAAATGAAATATCTATTTTTGTACCAGCCCCTCAAAATAATCATACCGCTGGAATATTTTTCTTTATTTCCACAGAATGGCCACAGTAGAGGTCAAGATAAATTTGGACCTAAATCTAAATACCTCACATGATGGAATTTCTGGGCTAATTTTTCTTTTCCATAAGATACATTAATATCCATAGGAAATATTGGCAAGTTGTACATATGGTTAGCTGGCAAGGAATCTGGCTGGTAAGGTAGTTTAGGCCTTCACAAATTAGTCGTCTGTTTAGCCATATGTTTGCTGGGTCATCCGGAAATGTCCCTGGTCAAACATTGTTCTTATATTTTAAGAACAGGGGAGGAAGTATATTAGAGTAGAATAAAATAGAACATTGGTTCTTATTTACAAAATAAATTCCATTAAACAGAGAATTCAAATGTTGGTCCTAGGTTGGCTTGATATCTGTTATTGCTCTTGCCATTTTCTGAGGTAATAAATTATGTAGATAAGCGGAACAATTCCATGTCTAACTGAGTCACGATGATCTAACTACTTCTAGAGTATGTACTATACTCAGATATATAAGTTAATGGCTTAAGAGATTACATTGAACTCAATAGAACCATTGTGATACTCATAGCATCTTTCCGTTTCACCTAAAACATGATCTCAGGGCTGAGAAGAAATGAGATGTCATGGTTTATCATGATGCAATAAAACATATAAAAGAGAATAACCTTAACAGAAATGTTACGGGGATTGAGATGGAAGAAAGAGAATGAAAATGAGATAGAAGGGGTCATGTAAGGCAACTGGGGAGACTCAGTCAATAGCAGTTGATTGAAATCTAGCAGAGAGGCTTCTCCTCTGGGAAATGTGGCTATTTAACCGTGGCATCACATGGTCTCCAACCAACCAATAGATATTCAAGATAAAAATGGTTAGGATATCATTGAGAAATTAGGCTTATTGGTTTCGGAAAAAGCAATTATCTGATAAAAGAATTTGCCAACTTCCTACCTCAATATATAGATCTGAAATAACCTGTTATTGTTTAATAACTTCAATCTACTAAATTGCTTATATGCATGGGTCACTTCCTTTGAAGGTGATCTATGAAAGTAACTGTAATACAATAGAACAATACAATAGTTTCCAGAATGAATTAATTGATTTCCCATATCCTGGATAAAGACAATAGGCGCCGTTATGTCTAAAAGATATACATGTAATATGATCGTTTTTTAAATATTATGTATCCAATATGTTGGTCGGTCATCAGTCACCCTTTGGGCATCATGGATAAAATACTGTAAAGTTTAGACTTTTAGCAATTGTTTAATGTGCTACATGAAATTTTCAAATTTATCTATGCACTATTTGCTTCTTGAATTCTTTAATGATTATTATTCTCAATAATAGTAAAATCACTTACATGACATATTTGTGAAATGTTTTGTGTATTATAGTATTTAATTAACATGTTGAATTATGCCGTCGTGAAATCATAAAATAGTATGGTAGAGTCTTTGTTTTCTAATTTTGCTCTGTGTTCTTTCAATACATGCCCCTTACTACCAATATGGTAATGGTCTTACACAGGCAAGTAAAAGTCCTCTACACCTGAAGGACAACCTTACATTATGTAATTTATATTCCGAATATTCTTTATAGGAATTCTGTAATATTGATTCATGGATGAGAATATAAATGAGACTGTGCATTTATAAGCTAAATGGGCCTGTGTAATATCATAGTATTTTCAGCATAACACACTCTGGAAAACATACCATACTTAAAGGGAGTACGTCATCGACAAGAAATGCAGGAACATAACTGAAATGATTTTTTATGTGGTACTTATTATATCTGTAGATTTTTATATGGATTAATTTCAGCATTTTTTCAACAAAAGATGTAGTGAAATGGAATAAAAAATATGAAGTAATGTAAGAAACATTGTGTGTGTGTGATTTAGGTGTGTCTAAGATGGCATGGTGACATATGAATAAGTGTATTTCAATTTAAGGATTAAGTAATTTGATTTTAGAGAGTAAAATTCCTACTTTGCAGTAAATACTAAACAACATTAATGCTTGTGAAGTAAATAAAGGATATAGTCTTGAGAAGCATAGCATATGGACCATATGTAAGGCTGAAGTGTGAGATTTTTGCTTTGCTTTTTGTTCAGTTCAGAGGCATGCTTTAGGCATTTTTTCTCTCAGAATCATGAACAGAATCTTGAATTGCCTTATATTAACATATTGGCATATGTGAATGTAACCATGTTTTTTCTTTCTTTTTACAGGTGTGCTCAGCCCAAGGTCAAGGTCGCCATATGCAGGTTAATGATTTAAAGAACGAATTAACCTTAACATGCATGGAGGTTGACATTACAAACTCAATTCCCTCAATTCCCAGTGACCAATCAATCACCACAAGTTACCGCCATATCCATATGTCTCCCAAGAAACCCATCAAGCGAGGAACTTACGATGTCTCAAATTCTTCTGATGATGCGAGTAAATCGAGTGAGGGTAGTGAATCGTCACTGGATGTAAAAACATCATCAGATGATGCATGTAAAGGTGACAGTGATAACTATGGCAGTGGAGAACACTTGAATGAATCGTCACTTGAGATTGAGATACATTACAATCAGTGTTATTCTAGTCTAACCCCCGAGTCGCCTACACGTTATGGGATAGTTGAGTCAGAGATAGGGGCTTTAATGGACACACATAACTGGCCCAATACGGAACAAACCCCTGGGCAAGGAAACAAATGTGCAATAAGTAATGACTGTATTCGAGATGATAAAGGAAAGAGTAAATCTGAGACAGGAAAATGTGCAGTTGAGAAGCAAAATATAACAGATGATATGAGAAACAGAGAAATTGACTCAAATTATTGTGCAGTTGAAACAGAAAAATGTGCAGTTGAGAAAGGAAACAGTGCAATCAAAACAAATAATGTCATAGATGAAACAAGAATTAGTGCAATAAGGCCTGAAACTGTAAAAACTGAAAATATCAATTTTGTGAATGAATCAAATTCTAAAGGTGAAAAATTGAACAATATTTATGATGCGCACACTCGGGCTACAGAAGAACTCAAGAATGAACCAACAGAGAAATATGGAGATGAAGTTGATAATTATCTACAAACAAATGGAAGCAGAAAAAGCAGTTATGACAATGTTGAGAAAAATCATGAACAAATTACAAGAGAAGTCAATGTTTTTATCAGTTCAGTGGAATCAGAAGAAGTTAGTGATCTCAGTGGTATACGAAAAGAAGGAATATGCGACAATGAGAATACTGATGACTTTTTCTTTGACGATGAATTTTCGGTACAGTTTGATGCCCATTTAGCACAGATTGACATGGGAATGTTGACTCAAGGGGATGGTGACGCACTAGAACTGTTAGCCAGTATACACATGCAGTCTCAACCTAAAGCTCCAAAATTGAAATCCAACATTGAGGCAGCAGTTTCAAAATCAGACTCTTGTCTGTTCAATCGAAAATATGAAGAATCTGAATTTTCTGAGAAAGCAAGTTCTAATGAGGAACCACCAGTTAGTGATAAGGATTTCTTCAGCTCTGGTGAAATTAGTCTTCCTGTCAGTGCAAGTATATCAGACTATAGCCACGATGGTTACTATGGAGATGAGCCGATGTATCAACAAGGGGAGCATTGTGGGTTACCAGAAGTGACATTATCAGATTGTGAGGCTGGGTATACAACATCTAGTGAACTATCAGAGCTTCAATCTGGACAATTATTCACACCTTCAGATAATGCATCACCTGCACCAGATCAGACTAATCCATCAATCGTAAGTTCAGGAAGCACTAATGCATCAGGCAGTTTTATGTATAACTCTAATGACCTCTGTCCTAAGAAAGAAAACTATGTGTTATCATTTGATCAGAGTGGCAGTAGAGCAACAGATGATGACTCGGAACCACAGAGTAGTGAATCTCAAGATGAACCCAACATGAAAACCTGGGCTACTAAACCTATAGACATACCCGCTGAGAAACCACTTATATCAATAGACTGTACAGAACTATCAAGCCCAAAAGCAAAGAAATTGCTGACTACTTGGTCTCAGCACAAGAATTCAGACTCGGAAAGTAACTCAGATTCCAATGATTCAAGCCCTACTGAATCATGTCCTAGTACAGAAAACAACACAATAGCTGAGAAACTTAGCACTGGACCTAATACCCCATCATCTACAAACAATAGCTTGGTAACCTGGCGAACTCTAAACAGAACCCTATCTAGCCCATGTAGAGCAGAGAAGCCAAAACGTAATCTAACAACATGGCGGAAGATTCAAGAAACGAAAAAGAACATGACGTTGGATCTTACTGGGTCACATAATCGGAGTAAGAGTCTGCCCAATCTGAATAGAAAAGCTCGGGTTGATAATGTGCCAAATTGTTTAGTTTCAAAAGACTTAGAATCACCAAAGGATGAACATGTATCAGACAGACAAATCAATGAACTACACAACAGTGTGTATAATCCAACTATGGTTTTGTCTATAGACACCCAGCCTCAGAGACATTCTGCAACACTGTACGAGATGTATCACAGGCTGAAAACCCAGGCTGCTGGCAATGGAGACCATTTCCCTACTCCTTTGACTGAATCTTTTCAGAACTTTTTGATATCCATAATGTCTCCAGAGAATCAGTCCCATAGCTCAGAAGAGTCATATTATTCTCCTGTCACGACAACGGACATGATTAAGTCTCCACAAAATGGGATCAGATCCCCAAGGGATGGGATAAAGTCTCCGATCAGACATCTGCTGTTACATAAAGGATCTATACATGCATCATACAGCAGTAGCCATAGTAACCATAGCTTGTGTAGTAGTAACTCACATAGGGATTCTAACAACAAAGGGAGCCCTGTATTGATATGTGCCAAGTGTGGCCCTTCAGAGAAGCGTAGTATGTGCTGTTCTCCAGTGTTTGTTCCTATGACGAAAAGCTTTGGAGTGCAAATTCCCTCTAACAATGCTGATAAATCCATACAGACATCCTTCAATGAAACCACATTAGGTTTGGATAAATCCCTACAGACATCATTTGAACTTTGTATCAACTGCAAACCTAATTTCCTATCTATAGAGAAACCTAAAGATGGCAATAAAGCTAAAAATCACCTAAAGTCACCCAAAACGGCCATTTTCTCAGGCAATTTCCTCAGCCCTAGCTTCTGCCCTGAGAAACCCTTCCCTGTTATGAGTAAAGTCTCCACCAGTACTATTGGGTTCACTCCAAGTTCCCCATCAGTCTCAAACTGCAGACTGTCCACAAGTTTGATGTATTCACCAAACAAAAGTCTACCTGATCTAGGCTTTTTAAAGCAATCAGTCACAACCAGTGGCTCTTCTAACACTCACTCTGAGCCAATCTTCTCCATACCAGGCCTTTTAGATCCTATTGCGTTATTCTCTAAGAAATCCACACAAAATCAAGATGATAACGGCAAAAAGGTCAAAAAGAAACAGGATTGGTTTGACACAATTACTGAAACAGAAACTGATACTCAAATTGATAATTTGTGCAATGAAACAACTCAAGAAGTTACAATGAGAATCAAGAAACCTGGTAATATTGTGAAACCGGTACGGCCTGGAAGTCGTGAAATCCCGAAAAGTATTTTTCAAAAAAATAGTCCAAACTCAGAAACGAAGGATGCAGAAAACAACAATGGTGAATTTAACATGGTGAGCGATACCACACCTTACAAAAAGCGTCAACGATCACCAAGAAGAGGAAATCAGAATCAATGTCAAAGGTCAACTGATTCAAGCACAACTCCCATGTCAATTAGTGCAGGAAGTTATGCAAGCTCAAACTCTTCTGGAATAGAGATAGGATCTTACGATTCAGCAGGTAACCTTAGCAGCCAGTTTCTGAGTGAGGACTTTACAGAACTTTTGAATCTGCTTAACATTGACCCCAGTTTTATTCAGAAAGGAGTCCTTGAGGAGACATCCTTGCATAAAGAAATTGCTGAGAAATTAAACAATCCTAACAATTATGGGAGAACACCTACGAGTACTGATTGCAAATCTACTGAGATAAAGATGAATGAATATGACATTACAGAACAAGATGCTGGGGTTATTATTAATGATGTAGAGCACGCAGAAAGTACCATTAAAGAAAAGCCATGGAATTTCCTAAGAAAAAAGCCATTGAAGTCTTGTCTGAGAAAAAGAATGAATAGAAGACAGCGATCCTTATCTGACCCATGTGACTTCCTGTTTACGAAACATGGCCTGGATAAGAATGTCGATATATCAACACTAGGGGACCCCATGAAACAAGGCATAGCAAAATCAGTCAGCTCTCCACTGTTTGATCGGGGTTGTACATGTGAGACATGCGCCCATGAATCGGCTCAGCACCCTCACCATCAATTCTACCCATTCTGCGGCTGCGATTCCTTGTCCAACAGCTCACATAATCGATCCTCACACATTGATATCATCGAGGAGCCTGAGGAAGACTCCTACAGTGAAATGTCGGAAAGTCAGAAAAAGAAAAGCGTGAAGTTTGCGGAGGAGAATATCTATCACTCTCCCCATTGTTCACCACATCACTCCCCCAGGAGACGCCCCAGGACAAAGCTGTTGTACAACCCTATCAGGGCACAGTGTTCTAGCAGAGACAACAGTAATGTGGAGAAAAGCAATACAGGTAATATTCTTTTCTTTATTGACTCGCACAGGATGAAATGCTTTCAAAATGGTTTTATCCAATTTAATTTATTTTTCTCCATATATTATATCCATAAAACAGAGGATGGCCGAAGTCTGTACAGAACAAACATGATACCATCCAACTTAATGAAAATTATGCAATTCTGGGAGCTTGGGAGCTTACCTCACCAAATGAATTCATCATTTTGGATGTAATCATTTAAATCTGTTGGATGATGAATTTCAACATACACATATTACACAATTTGTGAATCCGATGTCAATTTACCAATACCAATTGATATCATTACATTATAGAAATGTAGAATAAAACACTGGTAATCAATGAATGCTTTTATACAATGTGTTGTGTAGCCATTATATTAGTGTAGCCATAATATTTACAATCCATAATGTGGATGTGACAATCTTAATTACAAAATCAATTCTATGGCAATGTTCTTATTTCCTCACTTGTATTGTCTGAGATTAAGATTTAATACTTTAACTAATGATTTGTTCATATGTTATTCAAGGCTTATAGAATCATTAATGTGGCCAGCTGTTTGATAGAAATCAATTACAAATTCTTAACCTGAAATCTAAAGTAAGAGAAGGTTCATAATATCTCTCAATAATATCCAATATATTGGTCTACTGAGATACTTTTGGCGTCAGCATAATATACACCCTTGCAAAATAGTTTGATCACAGAGATCTGGTTTATTTCAATCCTGATTGTCAGATTTTCTAACCTCATTAAAAAACTTATTCTAGGGTTATTTTACAAGAGTTGTTATGATGATTTCTCCTGGTTTTCTTCAAAATGTCTTGGGTAAAGATAACTATTAATCCTATAAAAATCAGCTATACCAGTCCTAAATATCCTAATAAATATAAAAATCATGACAGTACATTTTTTTGCCTATAAGTACATTTCATGCTTTGCAGATTAAAATACCCTTTACATGAGAAGGTTGAAAAATATACTTGAGATCATTAAACTTTTGTCAGAATTAATGTTCAGATGGTGTGTGGGCAGCGAGAAGGGACTCACAGTTCCAGAGTCACTGCAGATGCATGTAACATAAAGTTGCAAGAGAATCATAATGAAATCAAATAACTGTAAATTAGATTTCAACAAATAATCAATGAAGTTAAGAATTTTGATGGTCAATGATTTTCTTTGAAAGTCTGTTCTTTCTCGTATTTATTGAGGAAAATGAAAGTTAATTACATTTATGTGATCTTTAGATCATGATGACAAGGAATATTGAAAATTTCAGTCTTGCAAACCTTCTAATTTTTTAGCAGGAGGGCCTTTAATTTTTCAGAGAGTCTTTTTTCAGTGGTGGAGGCTCTTATTTTTCAGAGTGGCTTCAGTTTAAATAAAGGGACTCATTTTTAGAGATATTCACATTTTTCAAAACACTTGTCAATTTCGCCAAACATTGCATATTTTTATTTTTAAACTATTAACTTATCCCAAGTTTATGCCAAATTTGTCATAATAATGCTATAAAATCTAGGTCATGTGGAATGAACATGTTCCAGGTGATAAGAACCACTTACATCAATATTGAGGTGAAACCACTAAAAATGGCTACATTATCCAAGGAAATGACACACATACTTTCTTAAATTATTAGTAATTTACAGTATATAAAGGCAAATATAAAACATGAAATGAATCTGAATTTTCCCTGGCATAATTCTATTGATTCTGGTGAAAATCAATATGGTCTCTGTGTTAGTGCTAAATCTTAAACTAGGCGAAAACAAAATATAATATGCAATTTACCATTTTCATCAGTAGCACTGTATCAGTCTGCCATCTATTTTACAATAAAACATTAATATTTAGTCTTTCTGCAAAAATCTTAGGACGTTAGCTGTATTATAGTCTTTTTAGAAGTAGAAGTAAAAGGGTTCTAAGAAAAACAGATAAACAAATTCATGACATATTCGTCAATCTCAATTAACACCCCGGGATGCATGTAGCTAAAATATAGATTCTACATTTGCCTACATGACATGCTAATTTTTTTATTAAATTATGTTCAGTATAAAGGTTCAATCACATCTTTCATAATGTATACAGGGGTGTACAAATATAAACAATGAAAATTCAATACAAAGCCTGTGAGTGACTTATGATAAATCTTTCTATAAAACCTTAAAGCATTTTGTTTTCTTTGTGTTCTGTAAGTATGTAGGATTCTTGGAATTATGTTGCAGATTCAAATGGCGATTGCAGTAGTACTTCAGAGACTTCAGCTGCTATAAAAGCACCAGCTATTCCTGCGGGTTCTGATACTTCCGTTGAGTCTAATACAAGCTGCTCGCCACCTCCCTCTGAGTTTCACATTACTGCGGATAACTCCCCACCTCCAAGTGTGTTTCATGATGAATCACCTCCACCACAGGAGAGCAACATCTTACCTCCCACACAGGAGAGTGAAGACAGACCTACACTGAGCATCAAGCAAACAAGTAATTTTTCTGTCACGTTTATCATATTTATGTAAAAGTGTCAATGAACTCTACGATGTAGAATTAGCATTATTAACATGTTTCTAATAACATGTAGACTGATGTTATTGCATATGCATATTTGAGAATTCATTTGAGAAATAAACAAAATCCATTCCTTGAAAAAATAGATTTCCTCCAATTCTTGAAATAAATAAAGCATGTAAAACTGTTTGATGTTTGCAGTGTATGTTGAAGAAATCAATATTGTGGTCCAAGATTTAATGAACCAATCAAGTAGCCAGGATGCAGTAGCACAAGGTCACATGGTCATTCAGAAGTTGTGTCCAGTGATTCTGCATATCTTGGAAGATGACATAAAGGCCTATACATGGAGCTTCTTTGGCCGTGTTAAGACCAATGTATGGAGAGTAATAGAGGAAACCTCATCCACAGGTCAGTCCATATTATTATATATGTTACCTGTCACATGCCTCCTTGTTCACTTTTTATTTCACTACAATCTCCTTAGGGACTCTCAATAGAACTCAAAAATCTGTATGATACAAGTGTCAGCCTGTATGATACAAGTGGTATTCTGTATGATACAAATGATATTCTCTATGATACGTGTGGTATTCTCTACATGACAGCTGATATTCTTTATATTACAGGGGAAATTCTGTTTTAAACAGGGGTAGAATTTAATCCATGAGGTATTCTGTAAGTTACAGGTGGTACTATGTATTGGTGATATTCAAATGACCTCCCCATTGTTAAAGCAAGTGGGCGCAGCACCCAATTGAGATTTTGTAAATAGGCTTGCACCCACCTGAAAATCCATTTGAACCCACTTGAAAATGAGAAAAATCATGAAAAATTGGCATATTTTGACCAATTTTGGTGTAAAATTGTGAGAATGAGAATTTTGCACCCACCTGAGAAAAAATACTGGGGAGATCACTGTATTCTATATGATACATATGGTATTCTGTTTGTTACAAGTGGTATTATTTATGTTACAGGTGTTAAGCAAGGCAGTCACCTGGATGAGATAATGAGAGACATTAACCATGCCTCATACCTGAGTAATGGACCTATGAGGTACAATGCATTCATATGCAGGCTCTTAAGGTGAGAAGAACATTTATAACTAATGCCATAAACCAGTTTATATACATATCTTCAGAAGAAGAAATACATTAGTTCAGAAAACTACATTAGTACAGTACATATACGAATGTATCAGTTTAAAAGTCTACAGAATATTAATTTTTGCCTCTATGCAAAATCTCCACAATTACTTGTCAATGAATCAATTACACATTATTTGGTGATCATCTTGAAAAATGAAAAACGCATTTTGCTCAAAATGGTACTTTTAACATATTTCATATTTGTCCATTTTCACTCTTAGTTAAGGCACTCAGTTATTCAAAATATTGATTAGGATATATTCTGATACAATAAAATAAAAATAATTAATTTTACAGTTGTTATTGCATTGTTTGTGCTGGCATTTCAGCTTTAGGGACATTTATTAAGAATGTATTGATATACCCTTGTAAGAGTATGTTTGTACATATTTTTCAGCCTTCGAGTGGTACCACAATGGTTCAGCTATCTTCTTTCCCAACAGCCTGTGTTGCGAAAACATTACAACTCAACTAGTGTGTTGTTGAATGGACGTACATCACAGGCTTTTGTGGCAACTATTTCGCAGATTCTTGACCCCTTATCCAGGATAAATTTTGAAATTTCCCTGGATTTTGAATTTCGGTGAGATGCTGCTTGTATATGAATTTGTAGCATATCATATTTTTGTGAAATCTTGACCTTCAAATCCTTATCACTTCTTTATCGCATTTCAAGTATCTCCATTTTATGTAATTTGGCACACTGTATACCAGATTCAAGAAATCAAGAAATCAACTGAATAGAAATCCATTTTACCTTTTGTCTATATTATTGTTATCTATAATTAAAATGTTTAAAGTGCCCTAATACCATATTGACATTTGGTCCTTGTTTAACATTGAAAAGGATGAGAATAAAAAACTATTATTTGTTTTTCAGTTGTTTACACCGCAGTCAAGAATTCGCCAAGAAGAAGGTAGATGGATTTCCCTCGGAGGAAAATAAAGACAGACTAAACAATCAAAAAACTCTAGATAAGGAACAAACCAATCAATCAGAAATGGTTAAGGAACGAATCAATCAACCAGCGATGGATTCATCAGAAAATAAACTTATATCGAAAGATATTCAATCAAATGCTTCAAGCTGCACTAGTGTAAACTCTGACGCTATTATGCAAGTGTTTGCTAAACAAGGTCATGTTGAACAAATCTTTAAGGATAATGAAATTGTCGCTACAGATCTACAAAGTGAAAGTTCAGAAGAAGAAATTCTACAGGAATCTGATTCGGATATTCCTGCTTATAAAAAAGGTGTTACAGAATATGTGTTTGATACCAAACAGTCTCGTCCGCAAAAGCTACATCTTGAGAAAAAAAGTGATGGCTTTTTGCAAAACTATACTCCCCTGGATAGCTTAATTCCCAGTGGAGATACCCTTAAACACACGGTGGATGTTGTAAATGTTGCTAAACAGGGAATGGAGCAATTAACCCTTGCGAATACTCCCAAGATTGTTAAACAAACAATAGAGGCTTCAAAACCAATAGCCACAAAAATTGTTGAGGATACGTTTCAAAAGTCTAAACCAATAGCAAACAAGATGATATCTAACACTGTTGAAGCATCTAAGCCTATTACTGACAGAGTTAAACAAACTTGGACAGCAGCCAAACCCATAGCAGGTAAAATGACGACCTCCGCTGTAAAAGCCGCCAAAGCAACCCAACAATGGGGAATTGGACTTAAAGTTATTAATGTGTTCGATAAACTTTTGATGGGATCTAGTACAACTTCAAGCAAGTCTCAGCAGTCCAGTATGACATCGAATTGCTCAGGAGGCTCATGGAGTGAAGCTTCAAGAAATTGGAAACAGCAAATGAAGCTAAACTCTCCTCTTGACTCTCAGCTTAATTCACCTATAAGCTCAAAATATAATTCGCCATATGGGTCAACTCATTCACTTCCTGTCCAAACTGCAAGTAGTTCCATTTCAACTCTCCAAACAGACCCATTCTACAGTAAACAAGCTGTCTCATTAGTTGAGGTGCCTAGACAGCAGATTATACCTCCCAAGAAACCCCCACGTGCCTCAGTTAGTCCCCCAAAACAAAAAGTACAGGAACATAAAAGGTGAGAATCTCAATACGAGAAATCGTAATAATATTATTTTTTTAATCCAAAAATAAATTGAAAAACAAATTCAATCTTGTGCACTATGTACACGTGACTACAATCATTTTAGTTTTCTGAAGATAATATTTGGGTCGTACCAACTACCAGCTCTCAATAAGATAATGTACTAGCAGCAGGATATTGGGGATAACATGTTGCCCTCTAACATTTGTTATTGCTGTTATATATTTGGAATAGAAAGAATGTTATTCAGTCATGCATGTGTCATTCACTTGATTGACAATCTGAAATATGAACTGAAAAGTCTGAATGATTTGAGCTCTCCCTTCCATTTTGAACTTCAATCTGTAAATATTTTATTGTCACCACCAAAAAGTGGGGACATATTGTTATGGTCCCGATTTTTGTGACGGCGGTTGACGGTGGTTGACGGTTGGTGTCTGTAACAAACTTCCAATAACTTAACAAATTCTGACTTCAATTTTTTTCAAAATCATCTACACGTTTTTATGTCCCCACCACATAGTGTGGGGCCATATTGTCGGCCTAGGCGCGTCCGTCCGTACGTCCGTCCGTCTGTCCGTCCGTCTGTCCGCACGTCCGGGAGTTTTCTCCAAAACTGCTACAGATATCACCTTCAAATTTTCAGGGATAACTTATGAGTGCATACAGATGTGGATGAAAAAATTTTAACTCGATACCTACTTCCTGTCGGCCATTTTGAAGTCAAATGCTAAAATCCTTGTCTGCAAACTTTAAGAAAAACGGCTTCACAGTTGCTTTTAAAACTTTAACATCTTGTTCAGCTCACTTCATTCTAGATCTGATTAGGTTTTGGACCTGTTAGCTCAGTCATGTCAGCCATTTTGAATGTCTTAAGAAATGTTAGCGCACGATAATACTTTGTATCATATTGAATGGTGTTTTTGAGTTTCCATACTTTAACTATTTAGTAGCTTTATAAATAATTTCAGATGTACTTTGTTGTAAAAGCCTATGTTATTGTTAACAGTAGTTTTATGTGATAATTTTGTAAGAAGAAATCAGCAAAAACACATAATCACTTTTTTATTGTCAGCCATTTTGGATTTTTCCGTCCTAAAATCTTATCTGTGAAATCTTGTCTACGTGTTTTCAGGTGAACCGTTTGGTGGATCAATTTCAAATTTTCAGGGATGATTCTTAGTATAAAAATCTAGATCTGATTTGTTTTTTGGCATTCTGGGTAAATGTCAAGGCAGCCATTTTGGATTTTCCGTCCTAAAATCTTGTCTGTAAAGTCTTGTCTACGCGTTTTCAGGTGAACCGTTTGGTAGATCAATTTCAAATTTTCAGAGATGATTCTTAGTATGAAAATGTAGAACTGATTAGTTTTTTGGCATTCTGGGTAAATGTCAAGGCAGCCATTTTGGATTTTCCGTCCTTAAATCTTGTCTGTAAAGTCTTGTCTATGCATTTCCAGGTGAACCGTTCTGTAGATCAATTTCAAATTTTTAGGGATGATTCTTAGTATGAAAATCTAGATCTGATTAGTTTTTTGGCATTCTGGATAAATGTCAAGGCAGCCATTTTGGATTTTCCGTCTTAAAATCTTGCCTGTAAAGTCTTGTCTACGCGTTTTTAGGTGAACCGTTTAGTAGATCAATTTCAAATTTTCAGGGATGATTCTTAGTGTGAAAATCTACATCTGATTAGTTTTTTGGCATTCTGTGTAAATGTCATAGCAGCCATTTTGGATTTTCTGTCCTAAAATCTTGTCTGTAAAGTCTTGTCTACGCGTTTTCAGGTGAACCATTTGGTAGATCAATGTCATATTTTCAGGGATGATTCTTAGAATTTTTAGTATGAAAATCTAGGAACAGATTAGTTTTTTGACATTCTGGGTAAATGTCAAGGCAGCCATTTTGGATTTTCCATCCTAAAATCTTGTCTGTAAAGTCTTGTTTACATGTTTTCTAGTTAACTGTGTGACGGATCAATTAAAAATTTTCAGGGGTGGTTCTTAGTTTGAAAATCTAGAACTGACTAAATCTTTGGCATTCTGGGTAAATTTTAAGGTGGCCATTTTGGATTTTCCGTCCTCAAATTGTGTTGGTAAAGTCTTGTCTACTCATTTTCAGGATAACCATTTGATGGGATCACCCATTGGTGGGGACATTTTGTACACATTTGTGTTCTTGTCTGAAGTTCAAATCACAAAGGTCTTTTTTCAACTTGCTTCAAATTAACCAATTTTTTTTTGACTGTGTGGTTTGAAATTGCTTCAAATTGTCCAATTTGTTTTTTTTAAAATCTACAAGTTCTCAGAATGTCAAATCTGACTTAAGATTTAAGAATTGACCTTCAATGACCTTCTAAAGGTCAAAAAAATTTTTAAAAAAGGTCTAAAAGATCTTTTCTCAACTTGTTTCAAATTGACCAATTTTTCAAAATCATATATAAGCTCACGAGAGTTCAAATCTAACTATAGATTTGACCTTTAATGACCTTCTCAAGGTCAAAAAAGATTCATAATATTGTGAGCAATATGGTGGTGACATTTAGTCATGTTAATGCCTTGTTAAATTGTTATTTTTACCTGCAGGCTTGTGAAATGTTTGTGCCACTATGTGTCTATGGAGTCATCCCAGCTGAGCTACCAAAAAGGTGATGTCCTAGAAATACTCGATGAACTAAACGATGAATGGATTATATGTACCAATGGAAAGGCTAAGGGACTAGTGCACTGTGGGTGTACAATAGCAGTTAAGGACTCCCAAGCCATGTTAGAGGCATAATGCATGAGAAAATTTCGAGATTCATTGTTGCAAAACTGAGTGGAACATAATGGTCATATTAATCAGCCTAAGGAAAGACCCCTCTCCTTTCCACAATACATCTAAAACAATTATCTCTCAAGATATCCAAAAGAGACAGTGGATCTGTTTTAGTCTTGAATACTTAAGATTCTAAAACTGATTATACATTATGTTTATGGCTTATACGATATCTTTGATGAAAAGCCATGCTTGCAACGGACTGTCAGAGCCTAATAAATTAGGTGAAATCAAACTATTAGAAAGGGCACATGCCTACAGTTAGTTCATGCTACAGTTAGTTCATGCTTCAAGAAAAAAAGGTGGTAGGTAAAATATAAGTATATATTGTGAAAATGGTAATGTCCTCTTAACTTTTTCTAAGAGGATGCTTAAATTATGATACACTGTACATATGATGTGTTGACATAGTGTGACATACCACATTAAAGAGATACTGTGGTTTGAAATATTATTTAATGTACAAGAAATAGATATAAGGCCTTCTATGTTATCATGCTATAGAACTACATGTAGATCTGCCCATAGGCAGTCATTTTAAGGCAGGCAAAGTGGAAGAAATAAAAGTAAAAAGTTTGGCCCTATACAGGCCCGTAGCCAGGATTTGCCAAGGGGGGGTTCAGTTTTCAAAAATTTCCAAGGGGGTTCACATTTGACAATTTTGGCCCAAATATGGCTAAAATCACTTGAGAAGTGCTCAAAATGGTGAAAAACTGCATGATTTTGAAAGAATTTTTGGCCAGGGGGGGGGGGGTTCGCCCGAACCCTGCGAACCCCCCCTGGCTACGGGCCTGCTATACATGTGGGTCCTTAACCTGTTCCACTGGGTCTACCTTAAGTGGTTGGAGGATCTTTCACATATAGGCATCTCATGTTATTAGTTCATAATTTTACCAAAGAAAATGCTTCACCTAGTGTTAACAGGAGATAAAATAACAGTGTGTCAAAACTAGTCCTTCTTTGGTGAAGAATAGGCTTGGTTAATGATTTTGGTAAAATTTATTTCTAATGAATCTCAGTCAAAAAAAGGTAAATTTTTTATATCTCCAAAATTTATCTTGGATACTACATCACATTTTTGTGTGTTTTAATCAGAAATTTGCCATGCATGTTTATTATTTTTTGTGTCATATTTATGATTAATTTTGTTTTTGCTACACTTGATTTTGTGTAAATACTTAATTGATCAACTTAAACATTTTAGTTTAACTTACTATTTAATCAGACTGTTTACATGTGTGTTAATTTTGTGTCATAATCGTTTCTTATTGACTACAAGAACATCTAGAAATAGAAGTGGAACATCTTTGGTTTTGCTTAAAGATGTTAACTTTGAGAATGTTAATGTTGACCTCATGTGAAACTTAAACAAATGAGATTTTTATTAAGTATTTTTCCTGGACTATTTCAACTATGTAGAAAAAGCTCATTTGTCATTTTATTATGAAAATTGAACCATGATTCAAACTGGTTCCATTTATTTTGACAGAAATACAGTGACGCCAGTATGTAGGCAATGCTTTCTGTACTGGCTGAGATTGTTCTTTAGTGTGAGGTATTTCTTACAAATAGGCGTTCATCAGACAGGTTGTACTTGATGTATTTTATTGGGCATATTAAGTTCTATGCCAATCCTAGTACAGTGTACTAAAAGGGATTTTGTTCAATTTATTTTCATCTTAACCAAGTGGTAAATCTTATAACAAGTCTGAAAATACAGTCCGATACAGAATACAGACTGACACTTATTATGTATAACACCATCACATGATTAAAGGGTCCTATTTTCAATACACTAGACTCGAGCAAAATTAGAAAGGCTCTACATGATCCTTGAAATCACATGAAAATTCAATTTACTTTTAATTTACCATTGAGAGTGTTATATTCTCTCTGGGGTTAAAGAAATTAACATATTCTGCACAAGTGCAAATATCTTGCACCTTGCATCAAGATCTTAAAATAAAGTCAACTTAATAAGTTGCTTGGCTAACAGTTATAAAAGATATCAATCTCTCAAGTATTATGTGATGTTCAATTAATGTACCAGTTGTTCAATTTGTGTACAGATTTATGTACCACAATATCTATCTAATTTATTTTGATATATAACATCATTATGTTCATGATGCTCTACAACAAAGTTCTCGTAATGTGATTTCATTTTTACGAAGTTTATTTAACAAAACTGAATACACTTATTATACTGCCAGAAATGCTTTAAAAGATATTATTATTGAAACATTTGTAAACAACATTTGTTGTGCAATATTTACTCATAATTTTAATAGTCCCTGTTTTTTTGTTCATTAATGTCTTATTATATATTGGTTTTGACAGATCCTGATTATTTTGTTTTTCATTCATGACGATTGATTTTTATATGTTTATATATTATTTATATTATATGTTTTGTTATGACAATTCATCAACTATTGTATTTATTCACTATTGTGTTCAGATTATTGATGTATATATAATACATCTTTTCATATATCATGTATACATGAGCATTTGATCATTTTTGTGACACTTGTGCAATTTATGAGCCAAACCATGTGAAATATAACATACTGTCAAAATAATATTGTTTCTTGTTTAAACCATCTGAACATACATGTAAGTGTGTACTGGGATTGCGACTTTTAAAACCTTTAAATTTCCCCCTTATAAATTTAATGATAGATCAAGTTTTACATAAGATGAGCTAAAAGATACCAGATAATTGAAATCAAAAGTAATCATTACATGTCCTTTGAATAACTTAATACCAAAGACGGTCAAAAATATATCCTTTTTAACATTTTAGAATAGGAAAAAGAGAAGTCGGAGAATCACAAATGGATAAAACCTAACTCATGATTTGTTCATTGTTCTGATAAGGCGTCGGACAACTGAACTCGCACTTATTTCCATGAGAGGGATTGACTCCGAACTAAATTGAACGAAGCCATATTATAGTTAGATGCCAATTACCACCGTGATTAAACACAACAATACTCAACGAAACAATCGACATAACTGAATATGCTCCAACGGACTTCTGAAATGTCAGCCGTAATCATGCAAAAGTCAAAATCCTTCCCTGTAATGTTTTGTCTACGCATTTCCAGGTAAACAAAGTACAAAAATGTACCGAGACATAAGTTGAAAGTTAGGAAAGCCCATGGTGGCAATTTTGAATTCTAAAACGGCCATTTTGAATTTTGTCATGAATCTTGTCATCAAAATTCTGTTCAACTTGAAACTTTTACAGATGCAAGAGCAAACTATTACGAAGATTTGATTAGGTTTTTGGTATGCTGGCTAAATTACTTGTAGGCCATTTTGAATTATTTGATAAATCGACCATTTTGAATTTTTCATAAATCATCAAAATTCTGTTAAACTTGAATTTTTTATAAAGTCAAGAGCAGACTAGTACCGAGATCTGATTAGGTTTTGGACACTCATAGGTAAATTACGTGGTGACCATTTTGCGCTCCAACGTACGATATTATCAATCAATACGTCTTATTGTAATATTCGATATGTATCATCTACAAATGATCGCGTTGTTCATTAGCACCAGACCTACCCGATCCCTAGTTGGGCATACCATCATCTATCTTGAGAAAAAAGTGTAACAACATCCTGCATGTTATTGGTGATTGGTTCCTTCTTAAAACAGTGACGTATTTTATATAATTATGAAACATCAAGAAAATTCGAAGATTATCATTTATACAACTATTTGTATTGGAGATCATTTGATGTGCGATAGTGACAGAAGCTGTGAGTTTCTCAGCCAACAACGCTGAGATTGTGAGGTAAGTGAGTAGCTTTATTGCTATGATTTTAAATCCACAAACTGACTTTTGTATATGGTTGATTTTAATTAATATAGTGTATAATCTAATAATTATCATGAATGGAATTTAAATGATTGTTTTCATTATTTTCAAGTAATGCTTGGATTCTATTGCTCTGATTTAAAAATCCACAGATTGACTTTTCTACGGTTAATTTTAATTTTTATGAACAAATGATTATTATGAATTTAAATTCAAATGGTTATTTTCAGATTATCATAGGTTTGTAAATTGGGAGTCCGAGTCTATTGTTTTCTTAAGTCTCAAGAGTATACCACATCATGTACAAAACACCGAGCTTGACAACTCCTGCCTCATCAAATGGAAGTCTTCAGTCTACATTTACTATACATTTGTTAGACGCTGAAAACACAGGTATGAATGCAACATTAATAGTTCAATAACGTCATTTCGAAGGGCAATATAGTGAAATATTGGACCGAGGGCCAACCAGAACTGAAAGAGCAAGAAAATTTTACGCACTGAACGATATCTAATTTCCTGCGGTCATTAATTTCATTCTTGACCGGCAATATTGACGGCCACTATGACGTCACATATTGCCCAGGTCGATATAGTAAAATGAATGCCTTCTAAACTAGCACTAAAACCCCTAGAACAGGCCCGGCAAGGTGGTAATAATTGAAAATGTTTCTCGATTCACTTTTTGTGTTTTCAACATTTTTAACGATTTGTAACTTATGCAACGTAGGAATCATCCTTTGAAAACTATTTATAATATCTAGCTAATATATCTAGGTCATAACGATAGAGTGATAAATGATGAATATATATATATATATGTGATTTGTAGAATCCGGTTGTTGTTTCCTTGTTCCGAAGTCATGGAAGAAAAAGAAAGAGATTAAAATGATGTGTCTGACGATAACCCCGTTGATAGTACTACTCATCCTTTTGTTATGGCAGAGTGTCGAGAAGGTCTTTGAAATAAATAATTCAAACAAGGTTTGTACAGAACAATTAATTGTTTGCACACGAATAATAGTCTTGCTTCAAGACCCATCTTAGATAAGATAAGGGATAAGGATACGGGGGGTCAAGAGTTTTGAAGCAAATGTAAGCTATATGAGAATCCATCTAATTGTGTAATCCATCCTCTGTCATGTCTGTTGTATTCCAAAGCTTGTACTTTTAAATTTCAGCTTGGGACAAAACTAGAAATAAGTGTTGATATAGGTCACCTTATAGATAAACTGCAAAAAGAACGTGAAATGTGTGTATTCTACAGAAGAAGACTCCCCCTGGCGATAAAATCAAAGCTGCCTAAAATTTTCACAGATACCGATAACGCTATTGAAAAACTAAAAAATTGGCCATCCAATTTGAGAGAAAAAAGTTGGGTATTTGGGACGAAGGAAACATTTCGAAAATATATTGGTCGACATAGAACGGCCTTAACCTTATGGAAAGTCACGGAAAGCGATGACGTGGCATCTAATAAAGAAATAGCATTTTATACATCTATATTGGACGTCTTTGTTGACTATTTTAAGCGGTCTCTTGAGGAATCCAATTACGGTAGGCGATGGAGAGCACTGGTTGCTTATGAAACGATCATCAAGGCCAAAGAACATCTTGGTATTGCAACAACTTTAGGGTTACTGTTCTTCGCCAATGGCAAATTTCAATCGCTTAACGATTACCTTCGATTCGCCCAACAAGCTAATGAAGCAGAGTCCTTGCTTATTCAGGCCAAGAATTTTTCCCCCTTAGTTACTGCTGTCGATTCACAAAGAAACATAACATCACGACAGGAACAATCAGTAAAACAATATAAGAATCTTATTTTAAGTCGCAGTCTCACAATAGATAAACCGACGAACTTCTCCATCCAGATGTTAGTTACATACTCGGAAGATATGGACGGATATAGTGATAAAGTGCGAAGGATCCAAGAAGACCTGGAAAATCATATAATGGCCGAAGTTATTCGTGGTACAACAAACGGCATTATAGGTTTAGGGTTGACTATAGTTCTGCTTGTGTTTGTCGTCATTGTGACACCGCTGATCTGTTTTAGAATTCTGGACATGACACATCAGATACAGCAATGTGTGGTATCATTGGCGGATAAAACAAGAGAACTACGAACAGAGAAACGACGAACTGAAACACTTTTGTACCAGATGCTGCCAAGGCCCGTGGCAAAACAGCTAAAGAGAAAAGTGGTGAGTCTTAACTGCAATATGAATACAAATAAGATATTTCGGCTAAACTATTATTGTTGAAATACGACATAAAAAAACATTTCATCATATCAAACAAACATTTCAATTATTTTCAGGGCGTTGATGCAGAATTCTTTGAGGAGGCTACTATATTTTTCTCAAGAATAACAGATTTTCACGAGATTTCTGCGAGGTGTAGCCCTATCAAAATTGTCGAGCTGTTGAATACACTTTACGTTGAGTTCGATAAAAAGATTGAAATGTTTGACGTATATAAAGTGGAGACAATTGGTGATTGTTACATGGTTGCGTCAGGTATAAAATCCTTTAACCCTTTAGTATCTGATCAATATACCTTTCTTGACATTATTCTATGTAAGAGGAACGCGATTAAAATTAGGAGTACTAATCTCACAACTGAGCTTCTTACTTAAATCATATTACGATCTTTCATTATATCCTAAATTGCCCCCTGGGGTACCCACTTTTTGCTGATTTTCAATATTCCCAAGAACTATTAACTTCTTTCTTTACCAAAAGTATATGGTGCTGAAGGTGATACTGAGATTTGCTTCCTAAATTGTAGGGCTGCCTATCAGAAACGAGGACAAACACTGCAAAGATATAGCTCTGATGGCTCTTGCTTTGATGTCATTGACATTTGGCATAGAACCAATGGATATAGGGATAGATTCCCGGATAGATTATATAAATGTCCGCATGGGCATTCATACTGGTAAGTGCAGCCTGATTGAAATCGCATCCACCAATGTCACAAACTGATGCAAATCACATGGTATAATGAAAATTCTAATATTACCATTGGTAAGTAGTGACAAAATGCTTATTTTCAAGCTGCGAGCGAATATAAATTATATTCGGTTAGTATGACATATCCGTCGGTCCATATCATACTCGTCCTCGTCCATTCCACAACTCGCCACCCCGATGCTCTGATTCGAAAAGTGTTTTAGGACTTCAATAAATTCCGTTTGTGTTTTCTAAATGCTTCCAAATCGGTTCGATTTACGTTTACCTGCTTAACCTCTTCATTGCAGGCCCATGTGTGGCTGGGGTTGTCGGAACAACACTACCTAGGTACTGCGTATTTGGAGACACAGTCAACACAGCAGCACGGCTAGAGTCTAGTAGTTTAGGTAAAATAAGCACATTATAAATAATATTGAATCAATTATTTGTGTTGCTTAGCCCATCGGCGTTTTATGAAACACCTCTTGAATTAATACCAGTGTGTTTGTCTTTTATCCAAATCATATCCTATCACAAATCTCCAGAAGTATTCATTAGCCATTTAATTCACGTATAGCGAGAGCCAGTTTTTATGTAATCTGTGGAATGTGGAATGGATCGACTCATCATTTTTGATAATCATTGCTGTTACATCTGATGAATATCAAAACAGATAGGTCCAGGTAAATTAAGTTGAATTCGCATCCAATATTTTCCCCTTGCCTCTCTTCTGACTGCCCTCGATTCAGTCTTTGGAAGCGCTTCAATACCAGACAAGTGTAATAATTAGCCAGACATTCTGTAGATCATTGATTGGTTGTGATGTAGGAATATGTTCCTTCTGTTTTTCAATGTCCATATGCCCAGGATTTCTTAAAATCTTAAATATCTTGATTTCTCCCCGTCAGTCGATACTATTCCCGTTTGTGTTAAACTTCAAACTTATTTCAGCCAACAAGATTCATATAAGTTCAAGAATACATCAAATGCTGTCGAAAGTTGGAGGATTTAAAATGAAAGCACGTGGAGTTATGGAACTGAAGGTAGGCACTGACTTGTACTTGTGCCGTTGGGTGGTTTCTTATGCTCATAAATTTTAATTTAAGTCAGCATTTTTACTGTCGGCATAAGTTCTGCCAAGATCTGTAACCATGGTAACAAATAAGTGGACATTGAAGGTCCTGTCATAAAAGGTCTTTTTTCAACTTGCTTCAAACTGACTTTTTTTCAAAATCATCTACAAGCTCTCAGTTCAATCTGACTTTAGACTTGACCTTTGGTTGACCTTCAATGATTTTCGAAAGGTAAAAAAGTTGATTTTTCAAATTGATTGGATCGAACTTTAACTCAGCTTAATTCCAAATTACCCACTGACGTCTTAAGGTCAAATGTTATTAAACTGGATGGCAAACGGTGTTAACATCTGTACCAATTGTTACACTTTTGTAACCATTTACAGGTAGTGACATTTTATAATTTTAATTTTTAACGTCTTATTAAATAATGCATCATTGACTGTATATATTAATCACAATTAATAAGTTATAAATATTTTGTTAATGTTTTCAGGGTAAAGGGATTATGTCCACGTATTGGCTTGAGAATCACACAGGCTCTCGTCATCTCTCCTCGTCAACATCCTTGGACTCAAAAGAAGAGTACATTGGGGACTTTGTGGGAAGCCAGTTTGAACAGATTCACTCACCGCAAGAAACATGTATTGAAACAGGCGACCCATTTGAGTCTGAAATGTCCAGCACAAATAGTGGACCAACGTCTACCCGGCAACAAAGACACGCTATTGTTGCTGACTCTGGCCAAGCAGAAACAATGACGCCAGTTTCAGAGTAGTCTGAAATTTCGAAGCTGATGTTCAGCTATTTAATGCCGACTAATGAACGCAACTGGCAATAAATGGTTTTTACACCACAAATCTGCACAAGATGTTTAGTGGTGACGTGACTACATCAGTTATGTACCAGTGTATCGAAATTGATGTTAAAACATTTCGGGATGCAGTTTAGGAAGTTATGTACGCATACAAGAAACACAACTTACACCTTGCAGTCAACTTATTGGACTAATATCTCAAGATACACATGAAATTTCAAAAAACGTTTAAACACTTTTGAGAGGTCTGATGGGCTTCATTTTCATTTTTCATTTTCATTTTCACAGTTTAAGGTTATTTGATTTTACAATTATCAGCAAAAAGAAGATTTTTCTTTGACACCATTGACCAATTTACAATTATAGACAGTTCCAATGCGATGTTAAAAAACTCATGTTTCAAAAAACTAACAGCATAAAGATTCTTTTAAGCAATTCAGTTTATTCGAAACATAGGATCAAATCCTATGCTAAGGGCTGAAAAAGTAACTCCACCCTGTTGGGAACAGAAACCCCGACTTACCGATTACATGTCAGATTGCCAAAGTTCATTTTCAAATCAATAGGTTATACTCCTGATACAGCTCACCGACATTTTACATTTTGTTATTCTATATCTTACAACAATTTACTTTCAATACTTATAATATTTTAAAAGTTATATTTTGTACTATGTATACAGTCTATACTTGACGTTTAGTTTGTATAACCCAGTATAGTGTAGTGACAAATAAGTCATTGTTATAAAGAGTCAACACGTAGATGTAGGTGGATCAATTAGGTTTTTACTACAAGATGTAAATTATTTGATCCGATTAAAATGGCAAATTTTTACTTTTAAATTATTGCTTTTTTGACTAATTGTATAAAATTCACAACACGATGGGAAAATGGAGTTGCCACATTTTTGAAATTTTGTGAAGAATGATTTCCTAATCAGGCCCGTAGACAGGATTTGCCAAGGGGATTCACTTTTTGAAAAATTCCAGGGGGGTTCACTTGTGACAAAAATGGCCAAAATCACTTAAAAAGTGCTCAGAATGGTGAAAAACTGCATGATTTTGAAAGTTTTTTGGACAGGGGGGATTCGCTCGACCCCCCCCCCCCCTGGATACGGGCCTGCTAATCAAAGGTATTATATGTGCTTCACAGAATATTTCCCTCGAATAAGAAAACATTATCTCAAAAGTAATGTCAAAAGATCTTTTATATTAGTTCTGGTCATGCTTCACTACATTTATATCATACTTACAACTTAAAATATACTGAATACTACAGTGGTTCATAATAATACAATTTTAAAGATGGCTCTAGTAGACCCTATTTTAGGGAATTGAGGTGTTATATGTTAACTCCCAATGCATTCATATATTTCTTGGGGTGACATGAATGGATGTTACATATGTAATCAGCTGATGTAATAAAACATTGAAATAAAAATGTTAAGATTGAATTATTGCAAGGAAAACATTGAAGTTCATCGTTTTTGTAACCCTTGCAACTTTACAGCATCCGTTCACAGATTCACCTGAGATCTTAGTTTAACAATTCTGACATTGAATAATGTGTATTTTGTCAAGAATGGAATGTTAACCTTTACGCTGATTATTTAACCAAACGGGTAAAAGTTTTACACTGTACATGGACCGAAGCTTTCATACATGTAGTTTTATGGCACAACTGACATATGGGTACTTGTTTGTTGTAAAGTGCATTGTAATTCACAATAACACGGTGCCAAAAGTGCAGTGCATACAAAGGAATACATTGTACTTGACAGGACGATTCAATTACAATATAAAGTTATAAGTCGACGAAGAAGGTAAGAACTATTGTGAGTAAGATTGTATTTTGTCATATTGGGGCTTTGTTTCCTCTATGGATTGTTATGATCTTAAAATTTACTTTTTCTTGCCAGACCGAGATCTTATGATTTATGTCGTAATATATGACCGGTTATATATTTGATATTAATCATAAAATCGAGGTCTTTGTTACGATTCCAATATGATAAACAGACAAGAAACACAACTATTTGCATTTATGAATTTTAGCGGTCATACAAAACAGAAAGGTCCAGGTAAATAATGGGATACAAAACATGTATTCCATTGTTTTTTAGTTGAATTACAAACGTTACAAAGAGGAATTTAATATTCTGGCCTTTTTCAAAAGATCACTTATCTTACGAAACTTCGTCAGTTCGTGGCCCTTTAATATTTACACATGCCATGGTCGTATCCTTTTGGTAATACATTCCAGCATTCGCTTAACTTCAAGAAATCGTATCAAATCCGCCCCGCCACGCTTCGTTAATATCATTATATTGTAACTGAAACAATAACGGTATATATTTTGTGATGATTATGTCTTTTCATTTGTACTTTGAATCGAACGATAATATATTTCAGTTGGGCATGACGACTAATAATGAACAACAAGAAGGTGAACAAAATGACCGTGATGAGTACGACAATCGAACATTTAGATACAAGTTGGTGAAGAATATATTCCTCTTCTTATCTCGAGTATTTATGGTAATAAATTATTACATACACTATTACACTATTGAGCTTCTGCTCCGTTTGTCGAGTTTGACTCTTATTTTGGCCAGAGCAAATGGCCTCTGGTGGAAAGAGTATTGGCCGACGCTCACCCCGGGACCCTATCGTCAACATAGTTCTCACTATGTTCTCGAAACGGGCTTCAACTGTGTACGAACGGAATGGACGTACTTAGAACCGTTTGGGGCCTATTTACAAACTTCATCGAACGTACTCGAACGGGTAGGTCCTCTAGAACTTAGAACATGCTCAAAATGTTCTCTTGGTCGTCACGTTCTACAATTAGAACGAGTGACAACCCACTAACGACGAGCTGGACGTACTACGAACGGAACCGTCGTACTCCAATCCTACTAGGGACGTTTTTACAACGAGTTGAACTGTCTGAGAACGTATTGAGAACGAGGTAGAACTAATTGCAAACGGGTTAAAACTGATTAAGAACGTATTTATCAACGAGTTAGCAAAAATATAGCTATCACACCAAGCAAGTTGCCACTGCGTTCTTCAAAACTGGTTTTAAAACTGTGTGCGAACGGAATGAACGTAGCTACAACGTTCTACGGTCTATTTACGAACTTCATGGAATTTCCCAGACGGGGAATGTGATTTAGAATTTTGAATCGATTCAAAATCCGACGGCGACCATACCGTTCTGTAATCAGGTCATGATGACCTTCTAGACTAAGGGACGCGTTATACGACGTTGCACTCCGACGTGGTGCGACCTGAACGAACTGCGAATGAGATGGACGTAGTATACCGAAGACTGTTTATGGACGAAGTAGTTAATTATTTTAGACATATTTCCCGACCACAGCCAGATTGAGCCAGTTTTACGACGTTTTCGTAGGACTGGCAAGAACGGGTAAGAACTAGTTTGGTGTGATAGATGGGTTATATCACATCCTAAAATTCGATTTTATTCTTCCCATTTTTAATTTTTTCAATATATCATCTCAGTTTATTTATGTTATGAACAATTGACATTTATAGGGGATGTACCTTGAAATATCTGGTCCGACGCTGTTAGACCTAAGGGATCGGGTCGGTGTTAATTATGAGGAAATATCTAGAGTCTTGGTTGCCAAAAGTGTTGGATATTTCATAAGTTCCGTTTTTGGTGGATTTCTTGTGGATAAGTTAAAAGGACACGTGGACCTACTTATTTCGTTGGGTTGTTTCATGGGAGCTGTCGGTACTGCCATTATACCATGGAGCCCATCGATGCCATTTATGGGAGTCATGTTCCACCTTCAGGGACTTGGGGAGGGTATAATCGACGTTGGTACGTATACCAACATAGATACGTATAAAACCTCTAGATGTATTCTTAAATATTACAATTCACCCTAGATAAAGACCTCTGGATCCTTTAAAGATGGGGTGCTTATTCAAGGCTTACCCACCAGAATCTGGCAAAGCCATTTCAATTCTGAATGCATGAAGTCTTCGTCTGAAGAATAGTCGTTGCCAGCTATTTATATGAAAAACGCAAGCAATTCTTATTATGATGTCTTTAATTGTAGTTTACATTCCTCGGTCCTTCGGGAGGTCTCTAAACAATATTAGTATTTATTATTAGAAGTCTTGAGAAGTCTCCAACATAGTGCTAATTTGATAGAGATACCAATGCATTTATATGTTGTTTATTTGTTATTATAGGTGGAGATAATCTTGTAATACGAATGTGGGGTGACAAGGCTGCTGCTCCTATACATTCTCTTTATTTCGCATTCGGTATTGGGGCTCTTATTGCACCTCAATTGGCACGACCATTCCTTTCGTCTACCACCAACAACAGCACTGTAAATACAACGGACGCCACCCCTACCTTAAAACCAATTGTGTTGAAGCCATCCTTGATAGAAATACCATATCTTATCATAGGCGTGCTGACCTTTTCTATTTGTCTGGTGTTTCTTGTATCACTGCATCAAATGTGGAATTTCTAGTAATTTCTAGACGTGCTTAGTCGGTCTAGGAACTCCGTGTATCTAGAGATTTCTAGGCGTACTTAGACGTGCTTAGAGCTGGCGTGGACAGAGCGTGACTAGAGTCTAGAAATCTCTAAGCACGCCGTGGTTAGACACAAGACAAAATTAGTCGTTATTAAATTGCCATGTGAGATTTTGCGCTATATATGGAAACATTTAAATTATAATTTACCGCACATGTTAATATTTCATGTTTTGCTTTAGCTAAATACTGGATATCAAATCAAAAAGAGTATGTTTTCACTTTATATCCGACTTGAGTCACGAAAAGTACATCGCAACATGGCTTCTTAATTGTTAACTTGTTATAAATTAAGAAGGTCTGTTTAAATGGGTATTTCCACTAATCAACACCCATTATTTCGCATTGACAAGTACCAGGGCCAAATCCAGCATTTGCTAAGGGGATGACTTTTGAATTATTCCAGGGGTGAGGTCACATTTGATATTTGCTCAAAAATTACACGAAAACTGCTCAAAATGGTGAAAGAATTATTGGCCAGGGGATACAGTATTATTTTAAACTAGACATCTCTGTCGGCGAGGGGGGGCTAACTTATTCCAGGGGTGGGGTCACATTTGATATTTGTTCAAAATCACACGAAAACTGCTCAAAATGATGAAAGAATAATTGGCCGGTGGATGCAGTATTATTTTAAACAATACATTACTGTCGGCGAAGGGGAGGGGGGGGGCTAACATATAGTTGAAATTACAGAATACGCTACCTTAATTTTTGATAATCTATAAAAATAATCTTGTCATAAACAACTACTGATTTATATATGTGAACGGATATTTGTAAATTTGGTTTAAAAAGAAACTGAATATAGGGTAAAAATGAGGGAGACACAGACGTCGGAAGAGTGGGGATAAAATCTAATCAACACTAAGCTGAGACAGAATGAGAATCATATGTCTGGACTCGCAAGATTTTCATAAACATATTTGTTGATTGCTCGCGAAAACAAAAACAAATTTCAGGGTTCATTGGCATCACACAATATTTGCAAAATGGAGGAGTGCATTTTCCCAGGATTTAAAACAATGCTTTACTTTAAACGTCGCCCCTCATACTAGCATACACTTTAACTATCAGATTCAGGAGCACCCTGCCCTTGATATATTAATACATAGTTTTCTTGTTCCCCTTTTCAAAAATACAACGAACTAAATACATAGTAATAATGATCTTGGAATTGATTTCTTTGATCTGTAATCTAGATCACACAATAACTAATTAACTGTTTGATTGCGTTTTGCTTCTTCAAAGACGGGATATCCCTAAATTACCTTGATTACAGCATGGGCTTTCAAGTGAGTCCATGATTGCAGTCTACATAGTCTATAGGCTATTTTTAATTCCTCGTTATTTTAGTTGTGTATCTCTGAATCCCGGCTCTGATTATCATATACAATTTACTTTAACCAATTTTACCCGTTTTTTGAACTTCAAAACTGTCACATACATATTGGTGGTCCCTAATCATATTAGGACCAATAACAAACAACATAATTAAAACTGGAAAACATACAATACATATTCATCATCTCGTCTATTTCTCCGGTTTGAATCTCCCGGTAATCTTTATGCCTTGAGCCACCCCCCCCCCTTACAGATACTTTAGCTACACTTATTTTCACGCTACTTAATTTGACGAATTTGCTCAATTTCAAATATTGGTGGCAATTTAATTTGGCGGAATCAGGACTGAAGTTTAATCTTTGTCTATGTTTAGACATGGGCTATCAAAAGATTATCTTGAAAGCCCATGGTTTATGTCATTAGGACGGGTATTTACTAAGATATTTTCTGTATTTCTTTTGGGATAATGTATGACATGTTGATGACATGCTCAGTTGACAGGAAAGGGGGCCCCAGAAGTTTAATTTCTGAAGTGCATTTGACAAAAATTCCAAACTGAAATTTGACCGATTTTAATTTGGCGGATTTTCTGACTCCGTCAATCCGTCTAATTAAAACGGGAGCCAAAGTAAGTATCTTCAGTTATATCAATATTATTTTGTATCTATCTGACATTATAATTTCGAAGAGAGATTCTCCCGGGGGCATTCGGGATTTCGAACATAATAAACTTAATTTGAAATGGATTGTGAAATTCTGTCAGAATGGAATACATGGACCTGGTTACATGGTTTATCTTATTCTAAATGGACAAATAAGATCGCAGGGGCAGGAAACTCCCCCGGAGTTGACATTTTGTTCATATAAAAGGCATTTGCATTAATCCTTTTGATAACTTTCTTTCGCAGTTGGTCTCTTGACCCGAAACATTCTGGCTACAACAATACAATTGAGTTTTAGAGAAAAAAGTGTGACTAACCACCCTAAGAGGAACGTTGGAGCTTTCTAAGACCACATTAAGCCCCGACTTTAACTAACATCTCCCGGTAACATCCTAACCCATGTTAAAGCCAAGCTTTTCCAGGATATCTTCAATCAATCCTCAACCCCTGTTAAAGACCCATTTTACAGGGTGTCTACACCGGGGCCTACCCCCTTGACCCTCGTTAAAATCCTACTTTTGAAGGTAACATACCCCTTCAACCTCCCTTCAAAACCCTACTTGTACAGGGTACCTACCCCTAAATCCCATGTTAAAGCCCTTATATTTGCCTGGAACATACATACCCCCTCCCTCTCAAGCCGTACTTTTGCTGTTCCCCACAGCTGAATTCATTTGTGAACTATTATTTTGCTATAATGAATCCTGGTGGATGTGATATCTGTAAAATATACAAAATGTACATTATATATGCGGTCTGGGGTGTGAGGGGGTTCATTTAAAAAAAACAATTTGGGGGGTCTCACTTTTGACAATCAGAGACAAAGGTCTCAAATTTGTTGAACAAAGCATGGAATGCCCATGAACCAATAATAAATATTATCAAATGAAAACAAAATATTAATTCCTTATAATCCAAATACTTCCTTGTTTTTATAACTGCTGAGCCACCTTGATTACAGAAGATACCGTGGAGTAGTCTAGAAATAGTTTTTCAAGCTTAGGACCTATAGCCATTTATCATGTGGGTCGACACTGTTTATTTATTTGCATAGATATGTTACTGGCCTTGGGGAGGCACACGATGCCTTCTAGCAATTTCAGATTTGTATTGTTTGAACTTCTATTTTGTTTAATGCACACTTCTGATCACCATACCAAATCATTTGAATCATACATAATTTGCACGAGTCTTAGGTTTGAATGAATTAAAATGACGTAAGCTAAGCGTAAAATTTTTGAAAAAAGCCTATCAAAAGACGAATTGTTTTTTGAATACTTTGCGAGGAAATCAATATTGATGTACCGTATTGAAGTCATAAACAACCGCTTCGAGATGTCAGCCCGAAGACTATCTCCCGGTTCAAATTTCCGCCCTTACATAACAGTGTTGTTGGTGGGAAGAGGAAATCGAGTCTGTATTGATCTAGTTAATTAGTGATTACAGATAGATTAAAGGAAAGGTGACTTGAAAGTGAATTCTCAAAATTGAGAATTCTGATTGTAATCAAAACTATATGAATTGATACTAATCGCACGGACATGGACTAGTATTTTGAATCATTTCATATCCTATCCAACAGCAAGTGAAATCAAATGATCAAGCTACTTATATAGTTTGCAAGTGCTGCCTTGTGGTTTGAGAATGCTGCCTTGTAGTTTGAGAATGCTGCCTTGTAGTTTGAGAATGCTGCCTTGAGGCTTCAATTCATGCTTAGAACACTATATATGAGTTACATTATAGTTTGCAAGTGCCGCTGTTTGGTTTGAAAATGCTGCCATGTAGTTTGAGAATGCTGCCTTGTAGTTTGAGAATGCTGCCTTGTGGTTATACAACTCTGCCTTGAGGTTTCAATTTATGCTTAGAACACTATATATGAGTTACATTATAGTTTGCAAGTGCCGCCTTGTGGTTTGAGAATGCTGCCTTGTAGTTTGAGAATGCTGCCTTGTGGTTATACAACTCTGCCTTGAAGTTTCAATTCATGCTTAGAACACTATATATGAGTTACATTATAGTTTGCAAGTGCTGCCTTAGTGGTTTGAGAATGCTGCCTTGTAGTTTGAGAATGATGCCTTGTGGTTATACAACTCTGCCTTGAGGTTTCAATTTATGCTTAGAACACTATATATGAGTTACATTATAGTTTGCAAGTGCCGCCTTGTGGTTTGAAAATACTGCCTTGTAGTTTGAGAATGCTGCCTTGTAGTGTGAGAATGCTGCCTTGTGGTTATACTACTCTGCCTTGTGGTTTTAATTATGCTTGGAACAATATATATATGAGTTATATTATACTTTGCAAGTGCCGCCTTGTGGTTTGAGAATGCTGCCTTGTAGTTTGAGAATGCTGCCTTGTGGTTATACAACTCTGCCTTGAGGTTTCAATTTATGCTTAGAACACTATATATGAGTTACATTATAATTTGCAAGTGCCGCCTTGTGGTTTGAGAATGCTGCCTTGTAGTTTGAGAATGCTGCCTTGTGGTTATACTACTCTGCCTTGAGGTTTCAATTCATGCTCAGAACATTATACATGAGTTGCATTATAGTTTGCAAATGCCGCCTTGTAGTTTGAGAATGCTGCCTTGTAGTTCGAGAATGCTGCCTTGTGGTTAGAACACTATATATGAGTTACATTATAGTTTGCAAGTGCCGCCTTGTGGTTATACTACTCTGCCTTGTGGTTTTAATTATGCTTAGAACACTATATATGAGTTATATTATAGTTTACAAGTGCCGCCTTGTGGTTTGAGAATGCTGCCTTGTAGTTTGAGAATGCTGCCTTGTGGTTATACTACTCTGCCTTGCCTTGTGGTTTTAATTATGCTTGGAACACTATATATGAGTTATATTATAGTTTGCAAGTGCCGCCTTGTGGTTTGAGAATGCTGTCTTGTAGTTTGAGAATGCTGCCTTGTGGTTATATATGAGTTATATTATAGTTTGCAAGTGCCGCCTTGTGGTTTGAGAATGCTGCCTTGTAGTTTGAGAATGCTGCCTTGTGGTTATACTACTCTGCCTTGTGGTTTTATTTATGTTTAGAACACTATATATGAGTTACATTATAGTTTGCAAGAGCCGCTTTGTGGTTTGAGAATGCTGCCTTGTAGTTTGAGAATGATGCCTTGTGGTTATACAACTCTGCCTTGTGGTTTTAATTATGCTTAGAACACTATATATGAGTTACCTTATAGTGCCGCCTTGTGGTTTTAGAATATCCCCTTGTAGTTTGAAAATGTTGCATTGTACTGTAATACTCTACCTTGAGGTTTCAATTTATGCGTAGAACATTATATTTGAGTTGCATTATAGTTTGCAAGTGCCGCCTTGTGGTTTGAGAATATCGCCTTGTAGTTGTGAATTTTTGCTTAGTTTTCAAAATCAAATTCGCAAAACGTGAAATAAGTGTTAAATATTAATTCCAGTACACTATGTGTTCTTTTACTAACTTTATTGTATGTTCTTTACATTTGAAAATACAAAGCATTATTATGAACTAAAATTAACTATTAACAGTTCATATGGATAACATGTACTATACTTGGTTACATCATGTATAATTCTAATAATATTGTCACATACATAGGAAAATCTATATTTGACATGTTTAATATTCAGATAAATACAATAAATATGATTTACAGATGTAATGTTGCATTATGTTCTTGCGTTTCTTAGTTGTCCAGATTACATACATGTATATTATATATAGAATAAACTGTTTTTCATACAATTATGACATCACATTATACAGGTACATTGTACGGGTAAACTTTGAATTAAAAGAATTAATTATGATTTTTCCTTTACCTGTATATTGTGATGTGTGTTAATGTATGAAAAACAGTCTAACTGATGAAGATTTTATTTTGTTTTTATTGCAAATACGTTCTTATTGCAATTATACATTATTTTTAACAACAAAACCCTTCTTATTTTCACCCTGAGTCTCATTTAAAATCTAAAGTTAGTTTTGTTTATCTGAAATGTACCTTATCATTTCTCATAGTGCGCCAGAAGTACGACTTTTATAGGTCCCTTACACATGCCTACATCGGACCTGGTAATCTGACATTATCTTCGTAAATGCTTGCTCGAAAATCGAAATTTCCTTGAAAAGTCCAGGGTTTGATGATGGGGTGGTACTTAATTAACTCGCTAAATATAGTTTTATACCAGTGGGACGAAATACAAGTATCAATCCTTTAAAGTTTGTCCGAGAGAGAAATCTATTTAACAATAGCAATGTTAATACTAGTTAGTTTTGTTATCTAGAAATTAAATCACAAAAGCTCAGTGACATTTGAAGTACAAAAACAATGTCGTGCATTATAAAAACAACAAGTCTGTCAACCACGGTTGTCTTCCGGTTATCTTATTGATGGATGAATTTGCTTACTTAATGAATTAAAATGTGCATCTGTTTAAAGTGTATTAGGTATCCGGGATTAGGTATATGTTCTCTAAAGTGATAAGAAAATATGTATGCGCAAGGGCTCATACGAATCAGAGGAATTATTAAAGTATTTCAATTAAACACTCATGAATATGTTGGTCTGTCATGGCGGATTTTAACTAAGATATAAATGTACATTGGTTATGTGTTAAGTTTCTACATAGTGTATGTTATCGCAAATTGTACTGTTGTGCGAAGAGCGTGCAAAGAGATTTCAATAATTAGTCACAACGCGTGCAAAGACTTTTGTTACAGTCTTTACACGTCTATACACTGTGTACCAAGAGGTGTAAAGGCGTGTCAAGAGTTGAATTCGTCGCGTGCCAAGAGGTGTCAAAACTAGGAACGCCTATACACGCGGCGTGTCAAGAGCCGTATCTAGACGTGTCAAGTTTTGGAATTCCATTTTTCACGCAGTGTATACTACTTTAAAGATAGAAAGCTGAGGACTCTGTCAAGGCCAACGGACAATGACAACGGGAAGCACCAATCGCTTTTACAAATTATTAACCCAGGGTCTTGTGCGGGCGGGAATACTGCATTTGGTTTCGTAATGTTTTGCCTTCTGTTTGTTTACTATTTCCTTATAGTAGGTGGTGAACGGACATTGTCAAAGTTTCTCTTTGCCTTTGCGACAGATGGCCCATTGAAGTTTACAAAGGATAATGCCACTATATTGAACACTGTATTCTGGGCAAGCTTTACTGCTGGTAGAGGTTTAGCTATGTTGGCTGCAAAATTCGTTGGACCCAGAATTCTTCTCATTGTTGAGTTGATTATGAATCTAATCGTTGCCATTGTCCTTCTCACGTTAGGTTACAGATTTGCAATTGTTATGTGGATCTTTACGGCGTTACAAGGTGCCTGTTTAGCGCCTCTTTTTCCATCAGGTATTGCGTGGCTCAATATTTACCTGAAAGTTACTGGAATGGCATTAGCAGTATTTTACATCGGAGCATCCTTCGGTGGCATGGCATTTCAATGGGTAACTGGATACCTTTTTCAAAACTATGGACCAATGTCATGGTTGTACATTATATTAGTGTATGCCATCGCTGTCAATATTATATTTTGGGCCATGCAGGTTATCGCTTGGAAATTCGGAACAGTCATAATTCGGAAAAATTCACTGAAGGAAATTGCAGCCAATGATAAACTGAACTATCCTCTGTCAAATCCCAGGAAGGATGCAGATTTAGGTGATGATGATGATGGCTGGAAGGAGGCGATCATTCAAACTGACCATTGTCGTTTATAACTACTACGTTGATCATACACTGAGGCCCGGGTATACAGTCATTAATAAAAAATCAGTCTTATTCTTATTCAATGTAAGTAATATAGTAAAAGATATCTAATATACATGTATACACCACGCATTACCAACTCAGTACACTAGGGGACGTTTTAAACATTTTTAACGTATTCCTGGGCCTCAGATCATACATGTATGTAGCTTTTATATTTTAGGTTACATTCATGAAATATAGATGTCGTAAATGATCTTGTTCAACTTGTGTTATAAGTAGGACATCGTTTGTTTTTGTAGTCTTCAAAACAAGTATTTACAAACTCACAAATGGCATATAACTAGGACTTCAATGATAAATTGACTCAACTATTCATCATATTCATATATGGCTATTAGGTGTCTCATTCAAAAAAGTCCATTCTTGAACTAAATTCAATATTTTTCCCGAATTAATGCATAAACCAAAATGGGCAAAGGTATGGGTATGTCAAAATACTTGACAGTAGAGAGATAATAAAAATCAATGAATAGTTGAAACTAGGTCAAAATCCTCAATGGATTTATTTATTTGAGATCCAATAAAGAAATGATAGATAAGGTACTATTGAATATATGCCATGTGTATCATAAATGAGTCATCGACCTAGTTTATAGGAATGAGAACACATTCTTTACTTTCTCATATCTAGGATAAAGCTTCAATAAATCAATGCTGTCAGATCAATACAAGAACGTTGGATATAACAATGTTTGCTTGTTTTCTGACTATTTAAAGCAATTTTATTATTTTCTGAGTATATCACATATAACGTAACTTATCTAGTTCATAGAATATTGTTACATGAGACAATGTTTAAATTCATAATTTAATCGTACATTTAGAAATAGTCTTTCCTTAATCCCATGCGACCCCACCCATAAAGCGCAGTAACTGAAGAAGTAACTGAAGGGTGAAGGTCCAGAGACTTGAAGTAAAGCTTATTTGGAACTATCCTTCACTATGTATTTATAGTGAAATTGTTGATATAATGTCCCTTTAATCCTTGATTGGTGTCATTTTCTAATGGACTGTCTAGTAGTTTTTCCAAATATAGGGTGGTTACTTCACGAAGATCTACTAATAAATGGATCAATTTGGGGAAAATCGACGAATCTGAGTCGTGATTTATCACCGTCTGGGTCTTAAGTGCAAGCGATATGTCATTCTCTACTCGTTCAATTGCATATCTGTTTAGTATACCCCCTCTGTCTGAAAAAAATAATTAATTACATCTAAAATATATTTAGTTGACATGACACAGATATAGCCTACACTTGAACAAAGCTCTAAACAAAAAATAGTCACTCTGAGGGTGAATGAATGTCTGTAATATAGTAGCATCGTTTAGTTCTGGCCAAATATAAATCTCCTAAATAATCTCCAATGATGTATAACAAATATATTTGAAATCTTTTCGATGTTCCCAGGGGCGGATCCGGGAACCAACGAGGGGGGGGGCAAACTTCTGGTCTGAGAAAAAAACTTCCCCGCCCCTAAAACCAAAAAGTGGGCTAAAACCATAAATTTTGAGGCCCACTTTCTTCAAAAGGCCTAAAATTAAAAATTTATGACCAAAAAGACCAAATTTTTTTGTGACCCACCACTAGGAATTTTTCGGTAAAAAAGTGACCCACTTTAGCGACACGTCCCCATATAGCCAATATATATATGAGTGACGTCAATGCTTTCACGAAATTAGGTCAAGGTGATATTTAATCATGGCTGGGCTCTGTGTGACAATTCAAGGACGCACATCGTCTCAAATCGTGTTTACTAAATACGTATAATATCTCACCTGGTGAAAATATTAAAAGGCCAAAAAACAAGGCCAGTTCAACATCTGTAAGGTTCAATGCCTTCAACTTTATCCAGATATCACAAGAACCAGCTAGAACCCCTCCTGCGGGACCTTGGTGCAGTAAAGCATCTTTGCCCATGCAGAGACTGAGTTTTTTATTGACGATTTTTCCGTCGATTATATCCACATCGGGTAGCTGTTGAACAATAGATCCTTCAAGGAGTCCAGATTTGAGAAGTGCGCATTGGTCTTCGACAGCAAGTGCACGAAACTGGGGTATTCCTCGAGCGAAGGTCGTAACGTCACATACAAAAGTGGGTAGACATTCTAGATACGTCTTGTTGAGGTTTTGAAGACTCTGGAACTACATATAAAGCTAAAATCAGCACTGTTATGCTCCAAGAGGATTTTACAATAAATACTGTTCTTGTTTGACATACAGGGTGGGGCAAAACACCCATATTTTTATTAGTATAAACCACTTTAATTGTAAGAACTCCAAAATATTTTTGCTATAGATGCAGGAATCAATTATGCAATTATTTCTAAAATATAATAAGGGTAAACGAACACGATGTGTATGATTAGATATATCCAGTTAAGAAGTGTACACTATTAACAATACTAAGCATCAAGAAGAGGTTGGCTGTGGGAAATCAGCCAGTACTCGAGTACAGGGGCACTAACTGGAGTTAGTATCATCCAAGATGGTGAACGAAATTCGTACATATAGATTAACCAAGCACAGCATATAAACTAATAAAGTTCCAGTTATTATAGTATTGTTTTACAATTCTGTCTGCTCTTGTCTGGCCGTCCTGTTTCCAATAGGTATATGTACGTACCATGTATCCTATCTGTCTGCTTTTAGATCGACTGTTTTTGAAAGCTTGGTGAATGTTCAGTACCATTTGCTCCGTGCGTGACTGAACCTCAATATCTACGAGGCCATTTTCACACTGGGGTAGGCTTATTCTTGTCGAGATTCGTGGCCTGTCTTTTTTCGGACATCTTCCCAAGCGAACAGCTGAAATGGATAACAATACTGACTGATAACAAGTGAATTTTCCATTGAATATACGAGTTACGTTTTTGTTTTTTTCCGCTCGATTACGCTGGTTACCGAAACGGTTCGTTTTGGTAACAAAATGTCGGAACGTCGAAGGTACGATTTTTCTTTATTCCTTATTTCACTCGTTGTAGGCAGAATTCCAACGACGTTTTTTCTCATAAACGTGTATCAGCATCATATGTTTTAGAAAATGTAGATGTTTGCGAAAAAATAGCTCAGAATACAACAGAATCGTCGATTTAATTCCTCACTTAAGTTACATAAACGGTTTAGGTTAACAGTGCAGATCTTAACTGTTTTTCAAAAAACCGTTACAACAGAATCGACGATTCTGTTGTATGATACTGATACTCGTGTGTGTTAAAAATGTCGTGGGAATTCTACCTATAACGTGTGAAATAAGGAAAAAAGAAAAATTGTACCTTCGATGTTCCGACATTTTGTTACCAAAACGAACCGTTTCGGTAACCAGCGTAATCGAGTGGATCACCAGTGTAGAAGGATGTGCTTTTAAACGAGGAAACATTACTATTCATTACTTATTAGTATCATACCGTCGTGTGACATTCCAACTTCTATGCATTTTTTCAGACGACAATATTGACATCTGTTCCTACTTATACGCATGATGAGACAGCCCTGTGAGTTCTCGCATGGCTTATATTCTATTTTATGCTTCACCGATCGTCTAAAAAATCCCTGAAAGCAGGCGTAATAAAACGTTATCAACTCATGACACCAAATGTTTGGATTAAAGGGGACCACCACCATGATCACATGATCAGTCGTGTGGAGGTAAGCTCCCAGTTGAAATAAAAGCACTGTCCTCCTTTGGTTTATGTGAAAAGTAGCTAATACCCTCATGTATTGGTCAGTTTGTGTGTCACACGACTAATCCCCATCATATGCTTCATTCAACATATTTTATGCTATTAAGCTGCATATAAAAACACTACTTTGCAATAAGAACGTACTACTGGATGAACTAAGGTTAGGGTAATTAAATTAGTTGTTTCTCATTCTTGCCCGCGTGTGGCCCAATCCCCACTCCACCTTTTTTCTGCCATTTCTGAGAAAAAACACCGTACCTCGCGCGCATCCATGGCGTGTGAAACACTTTTTTTTTACTTTTTACGGATCAGGATAATTGACAATATCGTGGTACTTATATATCAAATATAAGATATATATGATCAAATATACCAGTAAAGTAGGCTAAATTCAACATATAAATTCAACATAAACCCAGTTTATTTCCTTCAAAATTAGTTATTTGTTTTTACAGTTATTTTAAAGAAAAAGTCCCTCATCAGCATTTTAGATAGACAAAAAAGGTAATATAAAAACCGTCATTCCCGTATCAATTTTGAAAAATAATAGAAAGAGAAACAACTAATTTAATTACCCTGGCCTAACATAAAATACAAAGCCACTTGCCAGCTCATACAGTATACTTACCCCTTGCAAATTGTAATTTATTGAATTCACAGTAAACCCATCAATTTAAAAAAAACAAAGAATATTGTTCTCGTGGATCTATTATTCATGTTAAACTAACTATGAAAATATAAATATGAAATAATATGTTAGCTTGAAGTCATATATAAGATGAAAATATATGTCCATGCATTTGCACTTTTCAAAAGGGAGATATTCCCATGTAAGTAAATACAGGTGCAATATATAATTTATATGTATATCTATGTCATCTGTCTATACATGCGCGTATAGTGATACATTTGAACAAGATGATGGTTCTGGAAAGAAATGAGCGTGGCAGATTTGCTAAAAAGCCACATACACCACAAAAGCAAGACCAATTTGAAAGTAAGTTCATTATTCTCAAGTCAAGGGTACACTTCAAGTGAAAGCTACATTGCTACAGGGTGGCCTATCATTCTGAGACAAATGTATTATCCAACGATTGTGATTTTCGAAGCTAAAATATAATATCTTGAGCAGATGGAAATACATTCCCATGAGATATAGTTAAAAGTGATAACTACTTATTGAGTGTAATGAAACGTATCCTTCGCCAACTGCTTTTGTTTGAGATAATTATCATGAAATATTTTTAAATTAATTTTTATGTGTGTCATTGATCCTAATCCACCCTGTAGTCTGGTGTTTGTAGAGCATTGCACCTTGTACAACTTATTCTCACAAATATCAAACCTCATTTACTAATTAATTTTTTGTGTGAATATGAAGAGTCCAGGCATTGCTTTTTTATGTTTACTGTATAGCTATATTTAGCCTTGATATCCATGATTTTTTAAAACAAAATCTCACCGTTAGATTTCGAGCTATTCATGTTTACTCATTTTTCTAATTGGAAAACAATGCAAATCTCATTTTTTCAAAGGAAAAAAATTGAAATTCTAAGACGGTGAAAAATCATTAAAAAATACACAGATTCAGAATCCGGCAAGCATTTTCCCTTATTCCTCTCCGTTAAGAAGTTTTGTAAGGTGTTGGATCCCTTTAAATTGTTTAAACTTACTCTTTGTATTTCTGTCGATTATTTAGGTACGTTTAGAAAATTACGCCTTCTGTCAAAAGTGTTGGTTTTGATTGGATGGTTCCAACATTTAAATACTAATTGCAAAATTTAACTGCATGGGTACATTGGAAATCTGCAAAACTTAATTGATAAAAAACTTAATATTCTGGATTGTGTGGTCTGGACCAATATTATTAAGAGTATGACCCAATACCGTATATAAACTGATAACCGTCCACCCTTCACATTGATACGTACCTTGCACCCCTCACAAGCAAACACCCCGTAGTGATAACCCGACGCTTTGTCACCACATACCCTACATAGCATATGTCCAACTGGGGCAAGTCGACCTAAAATAATAATTCAAAGATTAAGAAATCAAATCGACAACAGTATCTGTGAATATTACTGTTGTGTAGAATTCGCATCCTCCGAAGGCAAAGCTGTGGACATCATCCACTATGATCCTTCCTTCCTTCTTCCACCCGTGACCCGTGATAGAATTAGGTACGAGTTCTATCTGAGGCCTGCGTTCGTACGTCGCCATGTTGTCAACCAAGAATAATTAAAAATTGAGAAAATCAAATTGACAACAACAAGTGTCTGTGAATATTAAGTTGTATGGAATTCGTTTCTAAAATAAAATGGTGCACTATGATGGTAAGTTTGTGGTCTTAATCGAAAGTGCTGGGGTTTATCGCGCCATCTTGATCATGTGATACGGCCCAATGCTGGATTAAAGGCAATATAACCTGTGGATATTTATTCATCACCTATTATGTTTAGGTAAATATCAACGGCAGGTATGGAAGACATTCTATTTTGCACATATTCGTAATAATTTATCGTTTGCAAAACAATCATAAAAATCATACGCATTTGTGTGCTTTGAAAATTCAACATGTTCAAACGCACGTCCCCAGCAATATACACACGTATAGACTAGTCTATATTAGTCATTTTGTTATGGTCATAACTAATTTATTAATCGTCTCGTTTAGTAAAAGTATCATTAAAGTCAAGTCATTTTCCTTTAATAATTATATGGAGGGCAGTTTTGTCTAGCGTTGGTGTTCGTTTATTTTGCATCGCCTACTTTTTCGTGGTATGTTGTAATCACGTAAAATATAGAGGCTGAAATACAAATGGTTATTTCCTTCAATTATCACAGTTTATCGACGTCTTTTTCGGTGCAATTTGCATTTCTTCACCTTGAAAATTCTCTAATAATAAAAGGCAATGTAATGCTTCCTAAAGAAACAAAATACAGTGATGTTATTTCAAATTATTCCATAAAACCTCAGTCATATTTGCTATGGCGATCGTACGGTCTATCATTTTTGCGGCCAGTAACAGAATTTCTGCAGTCAGATACTTTTGCAGTCACATTTGCTCCGGCATATTTTGATTTTGAGGAGACATAAAAGCTACGGTTACTGTACGGCCTTTAAAGTATTAAGCCGCATTTCGGTGTTGGGCGTTCCTACGGCGGGCTTAGTTATTCTTGACAAAAACCAAAGTAGACGCAAGTCGGCCGCAGGGGGGGGGGCTTACGGTCGAAAAGCGAATCATTCACAAGCCTTGGCATAGTCTAGCTGGTGGATTTGGAATATTTGATGATTACACACGTCACATGCCCAAAGTGCAATTGAGCGTTTTTCAAACTTCATTTACAAAACAAATTCCAAATCGAAGAAACTTATAATCGGCAACTCGACTTATAGGTAGGCTTAAATCGAGAAAACAAAACACTCGTAACCAGGAAGTTCATCCATTTTGTTGCATTGACGTTCCGTCAAAGTAACTAGTTGTGGAACAGTGATATTGCAAAAACATCCGAACTACATGTGCGAAATGGCACGTATTACATTGCATTTACGTCGGAATTGCGAATAGCTTGTACAGTTTTCACAACGTAAACGGGAACGGAAAGTTCATTAATCAAGGGATGCGCAGTGCGCGCACACTGCTTCAAGCCCTTTAGTCTACTCGGTTCAATTCCCGTTCAGCTTTCGAGTTTCGTGTTTAGAACGGGGAATTTGAGATTTCAGGTGTTGTTTCAAACTATGCACGAGATGCGTAGCATCATAGAGGAAACAACGCCTGAGTTCGTGATAGTAGAATCTGTTGGGTTAAGTAACAACCAACCAGATGTTGCCGTGCTAGAAAGTCCTCACTGTATTGACTTTCTAACTATAAGCTGTTTTATGTAACTTAAAGTAATGGAACGATTTTGTTGATACTTATCACGCCTAACCATCGACAAGGTACAGTGACAAAATATACCGTAGTACACTTTAGATGAACGATGTCACTATTTAACCGATTTGAAGCAAAGACAATGCAATGATGTAGGTTTTAAAAAAATAATCTGAGAATACATTAAGGATTTCATGTTTGATTTTTTGTGTATTCGTTTAGGAAGACATTTAACTTTCTAATAACGTTAAAAGATTTTCGAAAAGTGCTCGATTTTTTCGTAGTCAATCTACCCATATAATCGGTCGGTTGGAAAACATTGTTTTTTTCCACATTTCCTTTGATTATTTTCTACCCTGTCGTCTAAGAGTGTCGATTATTTTTATGAGAATATGTTTCTTTAAACAACACAATTGGGGTCTGTTGAAGATTTGATAAATCTTTTGGCTATAATTTAAAAAATCATAAGTGTACGTTGTCAAATCGAATGTACGTTGCCCCATTACACTTACTCAATTCACAGTTCACGTATTTTTCATAACACTAACAGACAGTCAGATGCATTTAAAATTGAAACAGAACAATTACAGAATTATTTCAATTTGATTGAACTATTGGAACTTTCCAGATATATCATAAACGGAATTTTAAAAAGTCATATTCAATAAGCTAGTATTCGATCTATCTATCAATGTAACTAACAAAATGTAAGGTACAGACGCCAAAATAATCAAATTAAAGAGACTGGAAGCAAACTCCGTGGCAGTGCTAGTCTTCAACGTACATTCGAGTTGACAACGCACATTACAATAAATACTTGAATATTTAATAATCTCCACCCGTCCTAAATTGTGTAGTATAGAGAAACATATTCCCATAAAAATAATCGACACTCTTAGGCGATAGGGGAAAATGATGGAAATGTGAAAAACTCAACATGTTCCAACCTATCAATTTTTGTTGGTAGATTAACTACGAAAGAATCGAGCATTGCTCGAAAATCTTTTAACGTAATCAGGAAGCTAAAAGTCTTCCAAAGCGAATACACACGAAATTAAACATGAAATCTTTCAAATAGTTCCCAAATTTAATTTTTTAAAACCTACTTCACACCTGCATCATAGTTTTTGCTTCAAATCAGTTAACAGTGACACCTGGACACCGTACATCTAAGTGTACAACGGTATATTTTGTCACTGTACCTTGTCCATGTTGTCGATGGTTAGGCGTGGCTCGAACACACCAGACGAAGCACAACTGACGTGAAAGCTCAGACAGTGGTCATAAATGAATAAACACAAGGAGCACACGCGTCTCGAACTCGCAACCTCGTGGTTACGGCGCCCAATCGCCAAGCTCGAACGTGCCGGGGCTCAAGCCCTCTCGGCCAACTCGGCCAAAAATATTCGGCACTTTAGACGACAGGGGAGGAAATGATCAAAGGATAGACAACGTTTTCCAACCGACCAATTATATGGGTAGATTGACTATGAAAAAATCGAGCACTGTTCGAAAATCTTTTAAGGTTATTAGAAAGTTAAATGTCTTCCTAAACGAATACACAAAAATCAAACATGAAATCCTTAATGTATTCCTCAGATTATTTTTTTAAAACCTACATCAAACCTATATCATTGTCTTTGCTTCAAATCGGTTAAATAGTGACATCGTACATCTAAAGTGTGTGGACTATGGTTTACGTGATAATTTGTATGTTAACAAATACAACCATAACATGTTAATGTCTCATTTAATGACTTTAATATTGTCATCGTGATCGTGGCCCCGACGTATTTCCAAAGGCATGGCTGGTGGCTGTGTCAATACAAAACTCCAACACAGGGTGACAAATATCACGAGCACATATAATTTATTTTGAGGTATGCTAGTACAGTAGAGGTGTAAGGGGGAGGAAGGACTCGGTGTGAAAGAAATGTTGGCGCCCTTGAATTATGATCACCTTTCTATGTGCAGGAGAAATTATCATCGTCTTCTATTAGTTCCTTTATAGTTTTAACACAGGAAGAGGTGGCGGGTATCAAAATGTGTCCTTGCGAGTAAATTATTATAAAACGGTTCAATTAATATATTTTCTAAACGCAGGAGTTAGTTCTGAAGAAACCTCGCAACCGAAGCTACGACACTTTTTCGAGGAATGATCAGCACTGCACAATACACCGAGTCCAGGGCTTAAATCCTTGAGGATCACCCTGTATACGAGCAACTTCTACTTCCAAGGTGAAATTGGTACGTACGCATACAGAGAGCGCATTGGCGAATTATATTGACTTGACTGTGTCATTGTTTCAATACCAAAAAAACTTTCTTTATTTTGTATTTAAGAAAAATACAGAATCGCATTTTCAAGAATGTCAGTTAGTCAAAGATGACGACAGCAAGAACTGATTTTTTATTTTGCTCGTTCATTTATCACTGTTACATAAAATGCTTATTTTAATGCGGTTATTGATTTGGATATTGAACATACATGTAATGAAGATTATCATACTTTTGGCTTGTATTAAGTTACCACTGGTACTAGGCCTGGGTCTTGTAAGGGCCAATATAGCATACACCCCCCCCCCCCGTGTTGGGTCGTCCTGTATATCAAAAAACTCCATTCATAATGTTTGATCTAACGGTTACTATATCTAGTAACCAGAGCTGAGAAACAAGGTAAAGGGGCACTAAAAATTGAACGGTTGAGAAAACAGAACCCATATAGACTCCGGGGTCATCTAATTTCCATGCATGTATAAAACAACTTATATGGAAATAACTATATGAAAAACATAATGACACTAGCAAGACTTCAAGCCATAACAGAGTCGGAAAGACAAATACTTATTATTTAGTATATCAAATAGGCTAGCTGTATCTAGTGGTATACGATGCCATTTAACCAAGGCATGTAGTCCGTTGAATAAATAGGTCTGTACTATTAGGATGAGCGATCAAGATGTCCTTGAGGATGCAATAGATCACATTCATCTAGGGAGTCAATGTCATGGCATTGTATTGCATGAGTTGAACGTGAGTTGCTAACATTTAATGACGAGGATAATTAACTCTATATTAACAGCTACATGTCAGTCTCAGACAACACCCCCCCCCCCCCCCTCCATGTTATACGTTCTTTTCACGTGATACA